AGCGTACTCGTTTTGCTTCTTGGTCCCGGTCCGTTCTTTTTGTTTTGTTATTTAGGCCTTGTCCACACGCATCCAGATATTTTTGAAAACGGAGATTTTTCCCTCCGTTATCGAAGAAATACGCGTGCACATATGGCGTATGCGAATCCCGTTTTCGCCCGTCCACACGAAAGCGCTAATACGATTGAAATACGATAGCATCATTCATTTATTCATTCATTTATTTTTGCCACTTACCGGAAATACAACAACAATATACAGAAATTTACAATACATTAAAGATAATATACAATATTTTAACTACAGAGCATGTGCTTTATGATGTATGACATCATCGTTTTCGAAAACCTCGGTTTTTTCCTAGCTGTCTACACGAAATAATAAGGCGGTGTTATCAAAAAAAATACCTTCGGGCCCCCTTTTAGAAAACCTGCGTTTTTAGTGCCCGAAAACGCCTTTTACGTTTGGACGGAAGGCTAAAACGGAGAACAAATTCTCCGTCTTCTTAGATATCCGGATACATGTGGATGGGGCGTTACGTTGTCCTTCTCTGTAGAGAAACATCGTAGATTCTCACTCAAATTTTTATTATTGTTTTATTATTAAGATCACTGATACGCTTAATTGGATGGTGCGAATGACAAGTGAATTGGAGACTGATCTCGTTGCTGTTGAAAGAGTGAAAGAATATTCAGAAACAGCTACTGAAGTGAGATTCTTTTAACTTAAAAAAATTTTTGTTTTTAAATGTTTATACATTAGGTGCTTACAATTAAACGTGACATACCAGTTTTGTTATAGAAAGCGTTAAATAAACTGACAAGTAGGTCTCATTTGATTAGTAGCACTGAAAGATTTTATCTATTGGCATAAAAACGTAGGAAAACGAATGGTGCTGAAAATGATTATGTTTTACAACGTACTAAACATTGCCTCATAAAAGTGTCTCTTACATTTTGTCCCTTTCCCTTACATTTTGTCCCTTAATAATGAATAAATGGTCGTATTTATGGATTGTAGCGGTAAATATTCTTTCAGTGAACTTTTCTTACATAACCTTCGTCGCAGCATACTTACCTTCAATAATTTACGTCACAGATTTTAAAGAAAGTGCTCTTTAAAAGGTTTCTTTTTTATTACAAGAAATAAGGAGAAGTTATGCAACTAATGCCAGGCATTTAAAAACAAATAAGCGGTTGACTTAGATTTCACTTCAGACCCCATTTCATCCACCAAAAGGTTAAGCAAGTTAAATGTAAACAGCCGACTCACATATTTGTCCTCCTTCGTATAGTCTCTGTCACATAGTCTTTGTCTGATTTGCTTTGTAACAGGCCGAATGGATTAAACCAGACAATCGACCCCCAGATGACTGGCCTAATACCGGTGGTGTTGTCATAGAAGAATTTGACTTGAGATACAGAGAAGGATTGCCTCTTGTACTTAAACAGATCAACTGTGATGTTAAACCGGGAGAAAAGGTATTCAGTATTATGGTGTGTTAACTATTGATTAAACAGGAAGATTCAGCTCAACACACTTGTTGGGGGACGTTCAAACTTCGTACCTTGGTTGAAGATTTCATAAACAACACAACCCAAAAGGAAATTGCTAGTTATTACGTGGTGCAAAGAAAGACTGTTTCAAGGTAAGAGTTAACATTGCCTTTCAATCTTGCCGTTCCAACAGATTGGTATTGTGGGCCGCACAGGAGCTGGCAAATCGTCCCTGACTTTAGCTTTGTTTCGCATTCTGGAGAGAGCTGGGGGGAGGATTTTAATTGATGGAATTGATATCGCTACGATTGGACTGCAGGATCTACGCTCTAGACTCACTATCATTCCACAGGTGATAACATTTATTCTGAACCAAGCTAAAGAAACAGCCAATATCTTTCCACCTGGTAGTGACAGTAGATTATAGTATGCACGAGGGGGACGGGTAAACTGCATAAGCCTGTGTTCTTGAGAAAACTGCAAAGAAAAGCTCTTTCGCATACCATTGGACTCCACATAAGTTTAATACGCCTGGTCAAAGTAGGCACGTTAGGTGTGCACACGTTTGTGATTTATGCTGCGTTCGATTGACCTTATTCTTGAATCGGAATACAAAGAATAATCCAGATTATCCGTTCGGTTGACCTGCTTTTCCAGTTCTGGAATAATTTTTTCAAGTATTCTGCTTCAGGGAGTAGAATGCTTGGAATAAAACGGAATATCGGGATCATTTTTCTTGTGTCGTGGAGACGGAGTTTGCTTTCTAGTCTCGTTATCAGATTCCAGAGGCATTGAATTAAAGCGTTAAGCTTAAAGTACCTGACATAATTAAGTAAGTCTGCCATAGTTCCTAAGCGTAGCATTAAACACTCGCTTTTGAGACTCTCTGGCCTTCGACTTCACTTTTAGCTTCCAGTGCTGTGTTGTAGCAACGGAAATGACGACACTATCGTAAGGAAAAAACTGTTTCACTTTGTTTGTCAAAGCAACTTTGCATTTTGATTCATTAAGAGATTTCTCTCTCATCAGGACCCAGTGTTGTTTTCTGGAAGTGTCCGTTCAAACCTTGACCCGTTTAATAAACACAGCGACGAGGAACTGTGGAAAGCACTAGAAGTTAGTCATTTAAAGAGTTTCGTTTCCGGACTGAGTGACGGACTACAACATAAGATAACAGAAGGAGGAGAAAATTTAAGGTGATATGTTACATTATATTTCAGTGAGCCTTTACATTCTATTGTACAATCCTTTCGACTAGAGATTTAAATTTGCTGTAGAATGAAGCCCTATTGGCCTTTAATTTGTAGAGCTAGTTTCACATTATATGCAAATGAATGGCTGGAGCTTCACGTAACCTATGGTTTATCAGTTTGTCAGGCGTATATTTAACTCACCTTAGGGGCTGTTTCCACTAGGTTCCCGGACACCGGTGCCTGGCTGCGGGCACAAAATGGTGTTGTAATCACACCCTAGGTACCATATATATATAATTGTGCATATAGTTGCTCCATTTTTCCTGTCAGACGCCATTTTGAAACGTGACCGTAACAGGCAGTTATGGGTACGCAAAGCAGTGGATTGCTTCGGAATTAAGAGACAATGTGTGCACACATTGACCCGGTGCCTACTTTAGTGTCCGAGAACAAGGTCTTAACCTTGTACTTTGGCACCGGCACCTTCTGTGAACTCCGGCGTGGCAACTTAACAAAAACGGTGTGTTCGCATTAATGCCCGGCGAGTACCGTACTCCAGTAGCGTGCACGAGTAACAATGGTGAACACTACCTTAGGAGCAAAATGTGTATCTGATTAATAATATTTTGTAACTTTTCCTCGGCTGTCACTGTAATGACGCAAACACAATGTGCTTTTTCCCCCCAGTGTCGGTCAGCGACAGTTAGTATGTTTAGCTCGCGCGTTACTCCGCAAAAGTAAACTCCTTGTTCTTGATGAGGCCACAGCTGCAGTGGATCTGGAAACAGACGAACTCATTCAACAGACAATTCGGCGCGAGTTTGCTGACCGCTCGGTGTTCACTATTGCTCACAGGCTCAATACTATCATGGATTATGACAGGTGAATGGGGGGTGGAGTAAGGGAATCATTTATGTGAGGAAATAAGAAGAGGGCTTGCGCGAGTCAGAAAATGCGGCTAAAATACAAAGCACCACACGCTCTTTCTTTACGGTTCCATATCTTTACTCTTTCATATCACCTTCCTGTTGTTTTTTTATTGTTTTCGAAAGAAGGCCGCTCGTACTTAATTGACATTTACAAGTTAAGACTCATAGTCAGTCACTTCGAAGGCGTCAAAACACACCTTATGTCGAACAGACTAGATATGAGGGAGCTTAAGCAACGACAACGGGGACGGCAACGAAAACGACAAAAAAGGGAATGGGTTAGATTTGCAATACAACAACTCTGCACGTGCATCACACTTTTTTATACATTTCTTTGCCGTCGTTGCACGTATACGACATGAAAGTTCTTAATTTCACGTTCTGTTGAGGACGTCAATTCAAGGCAACGAATTTCCATTTCTTCGTCTGAATTTGCATTCGGCGCTTTAGAATTAAACTCCAGAAAAACTCACCAAAATTTGACAAATTGAACGTGATGGAATAAGCGCGTGTAAGTTTGAACTTCTTAAGTGACGTTTTCGCAGCCGCCGCCGTCGTCGTTGCTTAAGCTCGCTATTACTGGGATTTGGCATACCTTAGTTTCCTTCATACCTTTTTGATTTTTTAAAGGAAATTTTCTTTCAATCCAAGGGGAAATACCTCACCTATTACCCTTGCATTGTTTTACCATCCTAGTCTGTATGTGAATAGGAGATTAAAAAAGATTTGTGTATTTGTGTCTCTCTAGGGTCTTGGTTCTCGATAATGGCGCCGTCGTCGAGTTCGATTCCCCTTCAAATTTGTTGAGTTTAAATGGCGTCTTCAAGAAAATGGCTCAAGATGCAAATTTGGCATAAGTCGTTCTGTTTCGCCATTGACTCTCTACGGATGACGTGCTTTATTGGTGTAAAAGAAGTTTCTAGCAAGAAGGAAATACTGAGGATCGTCTTTGTTACACAGCCAGGAAATATTCCAATTGCAATTTCGTCACGAAAGAAAACAGTGACCTGAGTGGTCAATTGGACACTACTGGACCCAAGGTCACAGTATCGGAATATAGTTATATACTATGATAATTTATATATTTTAACACTTTCTTGAAAATTTTTTAGAAAAATTGTTGACCTCCATAGGCGGAGAAACAGGTCTATAAAGGCGTGCTCGCCTAGTGTATTGTCAACTCTAGAACCTGTCTTTGCTCGTAACCTATAACATTAATAAAGAGGGACAATTCTTACCGTGGATTATTTACGAAACCTGAACTCGGTCAGCCACTGTGAAGCACATTCCACGAATGGACGACTTTGCAGACTCCCTAAATAGCGCAAAAATGTTTACAACCTCGGACCTTTGGAGTGGTCAATAAGATGCCATTTGGATTAAATGCGGCCCCATTTTTCATTTCAGCGCACGATTTAGAGTCTAGTCAGGTCTAAATCGTATTATCTGCCTGTGGTATCTTAATACAGCTGTAACGGTATTATTCACTTTAGTAAGACCAACATTGAGATTTCTTTACGACAGCACAACTTGTTCGTTCCAAGTGCAACTTTACCGCAATAAAAGTTACAGAACTAAGGTCACATGATCTCAACATTCGATATGGCGTTTCCCGCAACTTTCGAAAGCACATGCTATTTAGAACTTGTCGCCGCCAAAGTTAGGGAAAGACGCGGTGTGCTTTCCTGACAAGATCGCTCTTTAACTGTACCACTGTGTGCGAATGCGCTTTCCGGAAGATGAATTTAATAGACACGCCTCAGATTTGTAGTAGGCGCCTTCCTTGTCGCATGTTTACGGTAATGTTATTAATAATAATAATAAAATAATCGCTAGGCAGGGGCAGGCGCTTCCGGCCAACCCTTCTCATTCTACTTTTTAACGCCATCAGGCCAGCGCAAATTCTTAAGTGAAATTTACCTTAACGCCTATTTCCAGGGACTTTGTCTTCAAAAACCTGCAGGCAATTAACACCAAAAAGTGGAATAGTAAAACGAAAATCGTAATATATCTACACAGCAACGGTACAGAGGGTTTCATCGGCGAAACACGTCGCTTTCCACTGTTGTTCAACTGTCGCATCCTGTTAAACTAATAGGATCACGTGCAATGGGAAGCTTGATAATATAGTATGAAGCGATGCATCATGGGAGAAATGAAATTCCCCCTTGGAGTAAATTAAAGACTAAACCCAATCTTGTCCCGAAACTAGTGCAAATTCCATAAATATTTTTCAAATCCCGAACTAATTTGGGTCGCAGTAGCGCAATCGGCTAATCTCTCAACTTAGAGTCTCCTCTGATCTGACGGGTCACACAGGTGAGTCGGTTCAAACCCCGGGAGAGCCAAACTAATAATTCTTTCTTCCTCGTAAAGGTTAAAGAATAAATCAAAGAGATCGAAGTGATCTCGAGATATTTCGAACTAATTCGGCTCTCACTTCGTCAAATACCCGAATAAAACCGAAAATCTACAGACTTTGCGTACCCAATCGTGTCCCAAAATGTCAACTTTGATACATTCCTGAGCGTCGCGAAACCTTTGCTTCGCTCTCCGCCAAAGTAAAAAACGATTAGTTTGATTGACGGGTGAATACATGCTTGAACGTGTAGCCGTAAACAGTAGATGCGAAAAAGTTAGATCTTTACTTTATCTTCACACATGGCAAATCATAGATTTAATCTTTTTGTAAGCTTTAGCATCAAAGATTCAAAAGAAAACATCGAAAGTTTGAATTACTGTTCCTTCTGAGAAGAAATGTAGAGCTTTAAAATTGTTTCCATCAACTCACTCTTTTGCCGCTTCTTACAAATGCTGTCAACAGCGGCCACGATCGATCGAGGTGAGTGTTGTGTATCTGCAGTGTTCTTTGCCTTTCTTTGTTCTTGTTAACTTGCTGGCACGTACAGTTTTCGAAAATCCCTGGGAGCGCATATTGATGAGGCGCCTACATGGGCAACGCATACAAACGAGACTTCAAAGAAATTAACCAGCGCAGTTGGAGCATGTGACACAGTTTGTTCCTCCGTCGACCCTCTAAACAATGTACAACTCTTTTATCCAGCCGTACTTTAATTATTGCAGCAATGTTTGGGAGGGCTTGGACTCAGAACAAGCTCTGAAGCTTCAAAAACTACAAAACCGCTCGGCTAGGATGACAACTGTTTCCAGATTAACTCTACCGCTCCAGCCCCCTACGGCAAGAGCTAGTTTGGGACAGGCTTTTCTTGTTCTGTCAGAAAAGATGGTGATTTTTACTTTTGGGCTTTTTGGGCGTGACCCTTTACCCCCAAGTTGAAAATTTCGTAATTGTGGCCACCCTCCAACATCAACCGCCGACAGACTTCTTCCTAATATCAGTAATTGGTGCGTTTCGATCCGTCTATTCTATCATCCGTCTATTGGTGTGTTTCGATCCGTCTATTGTCAAGAGTACTTCTGTAATGGACAAAGAAATAGATTTGCACAAATTTGTTCTTGGCAAATATGTGGCAACACGAGAAAACGGAGGAGTTAATCTAGGGAAAAGAGGGTAAATACCACATGCAAATGTGGCATTTATCGTCTTTGCCCCAGATTTACTCCCCAGAACTTTCACATTTTTGCGACGTATTTGCCAAGAGCAAAATAATTTGTGCAAATCTTTTTCTTCGTCTAGCAGCTTGCTAATGCAGTGGTGTCATGAAAAGGTCTTATAATTAGTTCCGTTTTCTTATTAGACCGGCTAGGGGTTTGGTCTTACTTTGAGATGTATTTCTTTTACTTTTAAACGGCCGTCTAAAGTTAAAAGTTTAAGAATGGCCGCCCTATGGAACATGGGGTCCCTGGTTGATTAAGGGACGCCGTTTTCAGTATTTTACCAAGTTTAGACATAATCTCCCATCTCTTGCTTGATTTTCAGTTTGTATGGAGGCAACTAAACAAATCGAAATTGTCAACTGTATACAAGTCGAGAAGGAAGGCTTGCGCCCTTTTCTTGGTGTGAACACTTCTACTTTAATCTTGACGATATATTTACACGGCTCGTTATGGTGAGCAAGGAGAAAGAAGCAAGAGGAACAGGAGCAGGCAGAAATCTTGAATTTACCGAAATATTCTAAGCACTTACAGAATGCGAAGAACCGAAAAAAGTGTTAATTGAGGGGAAGCCTGGTATGGGAAAGACAACGTACTGCCATAAGCTTGTTTACGACTGGGCCACAAAGAAAAACAAATCAGGAGGCTGTTCCCCGGATTTTCAGTTAGTTATATTACTACGATGCCGCGACATTGACGAGGAGTCCAACCTTAGGGATGCTATTGATGACCAGCTCCTTCCTCGTGGAATTCAGTCAGAGGATAGAGAGAAATTCATGAAGTACGTTCAAAACAACCAGTCAAAGGTTTTAATGGTACTGGAGGGTTTGGATGAGTTACCTAAAAGCAGACTACCGGAGTTCATTGCTGAAATCATTCAGGGTAGAATGCTTCCCGGTTGTCACTTGGTAGTTACAGCGCGACACGAGGCTGCGATACCTGTGAGAAAAGTCTGCGATACTCTTCTGGAGATTGAGGGATTCAATCCTGAAGATGTAAAAAACTTCATATTGAAATACTTCAAAGGCAAGAATGGTTTGTCCAGAAAGCTATTAGACAAGCTGGAGAGCGATAGTAGGCTCAGAGAGATGTCGACAAATCCTCTTAACACTGCACTACTTCGTCTTCTTTGTGAAGATTTTGATGGTGTTTTACCTGAAGGAAGAACTCAACTGTACTTACAAATAGTGCTATGTGTTCTTATGAGATACAGGGCAAAGAAGGGCCTACCAGAAGATAATACAGACCTAACTGAACTATACAAAGATCAGTTGAAACACCTTGGCTTGATAGCACTAAACGGGCTACATGAGGAATGCATGTACTTTGGTAAAAAGCAACTTGGACAACAACATAGTGACCTACCTGGATTCGGATTTCTTTGGGTTCAGCCCGGAAGCAAACTACGACCGTTCGATGAGTGTTACGGCTTTACGCATAAGAGTTTCCAAGAATTTTTTGCGGGACATTATCTTTGGTGCCAGCTTGTTAGCCAAGAAATCACCCCTCAAACATTAGTCTGTGAGGCAAGATATTTCCGGAATATGCGACAGGTGCTACTATTTATCTATGGTTTGCTTGCCTTGCGATCCGAAGAAAGTGTAGGAGCACTTATAAGCGCCATAGCGAATGAAGTCAACAAAGGAGATTTAACTGAATTGTTGCCTGTTGCACTGGAGTGTATTAAAGAGTGTAAAAAGGGAGGCAGTAATCTTCACTTACAGCTTGCACGTACCTTTGGCTCATGTCTGACGGTGGAAAAAGCTTATCTAGGGGGAGAACGGATTGATGTTGTTGCTGCTGAAGTGCTTGGTGCCGCACTTGAAACAAACACAACTCTGACAGATTTGAGTTTGTCTCTCAATAACCTTGGTCCTGATGGTGCTAAGTCACTTGCTGACATGCTTAAAACAAACACAATTCTAACAGATTTACATTTGTCTGCCAATGACCTTGGCCCTGCTGGTGCTGAGTCACTTACTGCGGCACTTGGGAAAAACACAACTCTAAAAAATTTGGATTTGTCGGCTAATGAACTTGGGCCTGCCGGAGCTGAGTTCGTTGCTATGGCGCTTGAAAAAAACAGAACTCTTAGAGCACTTTGTCTGGTAATAACCTTGGCTCCTCTAGTGCGGATTCACTTTCCACCGCCCTTAAAACAAACACAAGTCTCACGGCGTTAAATTTGTCTGGTAATAACCTTGGTCCTGTTGGTGCTCGTTCATTTGCTGCTGCACTGAAAATGAACAAAACTCTGACGGAGTTGAATTTGTCTGGCAATAATATTGGTCCTACTGGTGTAGAGTCACTTGCCGCCATCCTTTGTGTTGCTGGTGGGGAGTCAGTGGCTGCCAACCTTACAACAAACAAAACTCTAACAAATTTGGATTTGTCTGCCAATTACCTTGGTCCTGCTGGTGCTGAGTCACTTGTTGCTATGCTAATAACAAACAAAACTCTGATCAATTTGGATTTGTTTACCAATGGCCTTGCTCCCGCTGGTGCTGAGTCACTTGTCGCGGCGATTGAAACAAACACAACCCTGAAAGCACTGAATTTGTCTCGCAATAACCTTGGTCCTACTGGTGCTGATTCACTTGCTGCCGCGCTTGAGATAAACAAAAGTCTGACGGAGTTGAATTTGTCTGGCAACAACCTTGGTCCTGAAAGCGCTCAATTATTTTCCGTCGCGCTGGAAGCAAACAAAACTCTGACAGCTAGACCTCAATTTGTCTAGCAACAACCTTGGTCCTGCTGGTGCTGCGTCACTCGCCACCGCACTTGAAATAAATAAAACTCTCACATATTTAGATTTGTCTTATATAAATGACCTTGGTCCTGCTGGTGCTGAGTCACTTGCAGCTACGCTTATAACAAACAGAACTTTGACAGGGTTAAATTTGTCTGGCAATAACCTTGGTCCGACTGGTGCTGAATCCCTTGCTGCAGCACTTGGAACAAATAGAACTCTGACAAAGTTGAATTTGTCTGACAATGTCCTGGATGCTACTGGTGCCGAGTCTTTTGCTACCATTCTTGAAACAAACGCCACTTTAACGGATTTGGATTTGTCTTACAATGACTTTTGCCTCGATAGTGATAAGTTAAGTGCTTCCGCGCTTGAAAGGAGACTTACAAACCCAGCGAAGGTCATGGCAGGGAAACGTAAACTTTCTGGATCCACTTATTTTGTTCTTCTTTTTCTTATTTACTTCTTTTTAGTGGTTTGGTGCTACAAGTAGTCGTTAATGATCAAGAAAACGACGATGCTTTGTTCCTACATTGCTTGGACGTCAGGCTTTGCAGTTTCATGTTATTTCTTTAATGAAACAGATTTTTCTGTAGACTTTGATGTAGGGTCTACTCTACCGTTATCTTTGCTGCAATGTAATCGACGGAAGCACTTAAGGGAATGTTATAAAACACGGAGCATTCCGAACTATAAAACCACCTCCTAAAAATCCTGTTGATCTAGGGCTCCTGTTTATATTTTTTATTTTCAATGATCTCCGGGTTTTTTTAAGAACGCGCTCCGGTGGTAGTTCGGAGTACAATGTTCCGTGCTTTTGTACATTCCCTGAGTTGTTAAAGTAGACTGGCCACCGCCAAGTCGGAGCAAGTTTATGATTGGCCTTAAAAGTTAACAATAAAATTTTAAAAACAATTCGATTTGATACGGGTAACCAGTGTAGGGCTCTGAGCAATGGTGTAATAAGACAAAATTTACTTTCGTGAAATACAAGACGTGCAGCAGAGTTCTGGACTCTTTGCAGTTTTTGAATCTGATACGCAGGTAAGCCATATAAGAGGCTATTGCAATAGTCAAGGCGGCTAGAAATAAAGGCATGTATCAGAGTTTCAGTACATTCTTTGCTGAGATATTTCCTTATCCTCCTGATATTGTACAAATAATAGAATGCTGCAGAGCTTGCTTTCGTTATGTGATCGCCCATTGATAGGTTAGAATCTAACCACACACCCAGGTTCCGAACGGGAGATTGTGGAGCAATGACAGAGTGTCCAACAGTTATGCCATCAACTGTGATTTTAGCGAGTTGCTGTCTGGTGCCGATCAAAAGAAGTTCCGTTTTGGCATCATTCATGAGCAACTTGTCTTGAGACATCCACTGCCTGATGTCTTGAATGCAATGTTCAATAGAAGCAACTGCATCAGCCTGGCCAGAGTGCGCCTTGGGACTAAACGAGATGTATAACTGAGAGTCATCGGCGTAACAATGGACAGTTGGGAGGTGCTTCTCCACGACATCAAACAGTGCGCTTGCATAAACTGTAAAGAGAAGTGGGCCAAGACACGAGCCTTGAGGAACACCATACCGCAGGTCAAACTTATCAGATACAGTTCCCCGAACAGACACTCGCTGGGAACGGCCAGACAAATAAGATCGAAACCAGGAAAGGACAGTGCCATTCAAACCAAGTTTTGACGATAATCTGTTAAGGAGAATGCTGTGATCAACGGTATCGAAAGCAGCACTGAGATCAAGCAATACAAGGATAGTAACGTGCTGCTTGTTCATATTTAACAGAATATCGTTCATTACTTTCAAAAGTGCTGTTTCAGTGCTGTGATTTCTTCTATAAGCAGACTGCGCAACTGGGTATAAGTTATTACGAACCAGGTGACCATGAATCTGATTAAAAGCAGCCCTTTCAATGAGTTTAGACACAAAAGACAAATTACTTATTGACTAATTGCAAATAAAGTAATGAGAAACACCATCAAAAGCTTTGCTGAAATCGTAACAAAAAATTCGCATAAAACAGCATCACTGGTGAGTCACTTAAGCCAATACTTTTGAGATTTAGTTAATTCCATTAAACCATTATGCTTGGACTTGTAGGCAAATTGAACAGAACATATATCTGATAATTCGAACTTAGACACCAGTCGTTCAAACACTCTCGTATTTATCGTAAGAGACATAGGGCGTAGTTGATAACAATAGCCTGAGAAACCTGTCGACATTTGGCGACGCTACTACTGGTTTCCCCACCAAATGACGTCTGAGAAACGAGCGCGGAAATTCCATACGGATGACGCGTCACCACCCAAAACTGGATATTACTTCTGATTGGTCGTGCCGCGTGGGAAATTTGATTAAACCAATCAGAAGCACTACCCAGATCTGGGTAGTGACGCGTCATCAGTATGGAATTTCTGCGCTCGTTTCGCAGACGTCATTTGGTGGGGAAACCAGTGGTAGCGTCGCCAAATGTCGGCTGTTTTCTCAGGCTATGATGACAATAGCTCAGAGTTGTTTGCCCGGGGCTGTTTCTTAAGGTAGAGGTGTTATATATGCCTCCGTCCATAGAATAGACATGATGTAATTCCTAAGGGAGTTGTTCAAACACCTGTGTAATGACCGGAGCGAGCTCATAAGGAAAGTCATGATTGAAACAAAAAGACCATCAATCATAGCGGCAGCTCCTTTTAAACCACACAGAAAATACCTTTGGCATTCAACTTCGTTGTTTAGCATCTCGCTGCACCGCGTTGCGCGCGAGAAAAAAAAAACTCTGGTAACAAGAGTACTGATGTGTCGATTTAAGCTGAGAGTTAACTTTTGTCATAAATAGGAGGTTGTCCTTCGAAAACAAAAATGAAAAAACAAATTATAGTTTCAGATTACTGTTCAATTGTCAAGACGGGTTTGATCTATCTACAGTCGGCTTCCTTATTATTCTTGAAAATATATTTTAATTTAATGGAGGGTTAAGTCAAGGGCAGCTTCTTGCAGACAATACCTCATGATGGTGAAACGGGGAAAAAATGCGCGTTCTTCGTGTATATTTGAGGAACTATTCATTCTGCGAAAGAGATGGGATGTAGGAATCAACTAGGCCTCCTGGTTTTGTTTAAACTGTAATTTGAATAGAAAACGTGTTCCTCTATCGGGAAAAACTCTCAACTCTCTTATGTTAAACGAGAAGTATTTACAGGGCGGAAGCTACCCGTACGCACGTACGCGCGTTCACAGCTGAAAAAAATGTCGAAATATAAAATCAAACAACACGGGAAATAAGTCACGGCACTGTAGCATATGCGCCTTTTTTTCGCAGTTGTTAGTATCCACAATGAAGAGTCGTTTGTTGGTGGACAAAATGCTTCAGGGTGCGAAATGCTAGTGAAATTTGGGGGCGAAGTGAAATTATCAAACAAGAAACAGCTCTATGTTGCGGAGCATCGATGTATTTTATCTTTTGAATAAAACTTAGCGAGTATCCTGGTTTGTTTGGTTGTGACTAGAATGGATGCTTTAAAAAATCAGGTTGGACGACTTATATGATTATTATACAACGCTATTTTCCTCGTAGAAAACCATTTATGCGAATTTACTGGCTACATTTTTGAGAAAAGTGGGAAATCAAAGTAAGAGACAGTTGTGCAAGGAAACGAGTTGAATACAGGGCTTAGCACCGAAGTATAGTGATTATGGTTACAGTGGCGGATCTAGGGGAGAGGCCCGGGGGGCCTTATTTTTAGACGAAACTGAGGTCCGAAGGGCCGAAAAAAATTGTTTTGGAGACCGGCCCCACGCCCCCCTCCCCCCCTTATCTAGGGGTCTGGATGACCGAGGCCCCCCCGTTATCTCAAGTTTAAGCACCTCAGTTTAAAACGGTTGCTTTCAATAATGTTATGATCAATGCCAGGCAAAGTACTAGTGTCGGCCGTTAGCCGTTGATGGTGTAGAGGATAAGGATGTGGATTTAACAGCAAATGATGAGGGTTCAAGTCCTACTGTTTTCTTCGGTTTTCTTTATTACATTCACTACTTTTTAAAGTAGTTTTATAACTTAGAAGTTATAACACTCCTATTATGTATTTTGAGAAAAGATAACAATCTGATGTTGGGGTACCCACTCTAGTCACAAGAGTTTTTCTTATTTTAAAAAAGTTCGTTTGAAATCGTGACACCGAGGCATTTTAAAACGTCAACGGAAAAAATTTCCGAACCATGGAAACAGTTGGTTTTTTTTTCATCAAGTATCTTGCTAACGGACGTGTTGAAGCCAGAGATAAGAGATCCATAAAACAACATCTTTTCAGTCAACCACGGTTGGCAAAAGCAGCGTTTTCCCCCAGTCTTTCCAAACTGCGTGCTGCTAGTAATGGGGGAATAGTAAGGAGAACTGTCCAAATAAAAAGGGCGTTTTGACATGTTTCAAGGAGCAATATAAACTTAGGTCCATAAAATAATTTCTCTGGAAGTATACGAATTTTAGACGCATTTCCAGTATTTAAAATGACCTAAATGTCACATCTTCATTGGAGAGCATGCCCAGCGGATCCCCCAAGTATGCTAACGCTTTTGTGTTTGGTTTAACTAGAAAGAGGCTGTAATAAAATTTTTCGAGCCAACTGCCATTCCATCCCTTTGTAAATAACCGCCCTAACTGGTACACGCGCTAGGTGAATTCCGACAATTCATTTAATTCTATAAACCTCGCTACACTTGGGTTCTCGCTTCGGGGCGGGGGGAAGACATTTCAAATGCTTCTTATAATCATCATTTGATAATTCAAAAATTCAGGTTTTATTATCACCTTACCCAACAACAGACATGGAAAGTCCAAGCAAAGCCATTGCAGACTTTGGGGGAAGTGTAACCTTTGTGGACAAACGTCATGGCCCGCCCTGGGAAATTTGTAGCTTTCCAAGGAAAAAAAGACAAATAAAGAGCTTCTAGCAAGGTGTAAGAAAAGTAATTACATAAACATCACACAGGCAGATATCAAGTGTGACATTGTTTATTACTATCTTCTACTACCACCACAAACACAGTTCTGTTGATTCTAATCACGCGGACAAGAAATAATTGAAAAGTATATCTAGCTATATATTACGCAAAGCACTGGATGCTGAGCCCAGGCGCTGAGCACCCGGATCTTGTACTGACTTACAGTCCAGCGCACATAAAGTTTGTTTGCAGTGTAATTATGTTGAAAAGCCCCCTGCGGGGAGAAGATAAAACGAAAAGGTTTTATGCCATGTCAGGCTCAATACTATCATGACAGTATCTACACGAGTTTGTGAACCATCCACGCTCCTATGTATTTCCCAAGCCAATTTCATCTGCTCGAGCGTTATAACAGGCGGCCATAACAGGCTGATTTAGCAACAGAACGAGAACGTTAGTTGACGACTTCATGCGTAAATCAAATAACTGGCTTGATCAATGGAATTACACAAATGAAGCCGAGCGCGCGCGGGAGATTTTGATCTGACTGGAAAGTGTGACTGAAAAAGAGACCAGAAATGCTCAATGTGGCGCATGCGTAGATGTTTTGCCGCGGTATTGATCAATGTCAGAGCGGTAAATTGGGCACCGGAAGTCGAGTTAAGTCCTTTCTGCGCGCTTTTCCGTCGTCAAATGACGTTCCCGTTCTGTTACTAAAACAGCCTAACATGTTTCTCTTGTTTCAAATTATGACTGGCCTTGGGTGTCAAGGAGGGCCAGACGTTAATGTGGTACGAGTGACTAAAGTGCAGCCTAGGCTTACTCTAAATATGCTCCTTTATAACACATTGAATGACTAAGGTGTCAGAACCATTACTGGCCCGCAGTTTAGTAATACCGACTTGTTAGTCAGCCCGACGCGGATGAAACCATTTAATGAAGTACAAACTGACCATACACACCACAGTGTTATTAGTAAAAAACAACAAACAAGAAAAGTTTCTCCACACAAGCTATTAAAAACAAGGATTCAAAGACAAATTTGTCCCTTTAGAAGCCAAAAAAGTCGTTTAACGGTTCGATAGGAATTGACAGCTCTTTTAATTTGGGAAGAATGCCAGACTTTCCCAATTTGAGAGCCTCTCGATAAGACACGCATCCGACCATTCTTGGGCTAAGTGCAAAAATGGGACGAGAGAATTTAGAATAAGCAAACACTTATTTCCAATGTCTTCAGGTCCGGAGAGAAAATTTAGCCAAGTTTGTTGAATGCTTTGTCTAATTTGTAAGAGATAAGGTTCTACCATCTATAAACAGGTTCTCCGATGATCTTTGGCTCCTTGAGAAACGACACATCTGGAGCTTCACACTTTTCTAGTTCAAAGATTAACAGCTGGAAAAGAGAATAACGAGATTCATTTAAACACTTCCACTCCCAAGCTTGGTATGACATTATGTGTTGTCTCGCGGTAAACCAAAGTCTGCTACACAGCCGTTTTTAGTGTCGTCACGCAACGGGTGTGTAGCAGACTAGGTAAACCAGGTCTCGGGGAAAATTATTTTAGGAAGCTGGCCGGACACGACAACTGGCCCAAGAAATTTTTGGCATTGCTCGGTAAAGACTCTTTTCTGACCGGTCAAAACTTATCAACGTATTAACTTATCCTTTTCTCGTGAATTTTTTTTTACTAGAGACAAAATCTAAAATTCATGGGTGAGGATTTAGCTGTTTGTTCAAGAATGAGAGTGCGCGTGACTGGTCAACGGTTTTCAGCCGGTCAAGTCGCCATTCAGGTAGGACATTGTCCTTCGACCGGCCGTTATTACGAGCCCTGTAAACCAAGACAGCTTCCNCCAAGTTTGTTGAATGCTTTGTCTAATTTGTAAGAGATAAGGTTCTACCATCTATAAACAGGTTCTCCGATGATCTTTGGCTCCTTGAGAAACGACACATCTGGAGCTTCACACTTTTCTAGTTCAAAGATTAACAGCTGGAAAAGAGAATAACGAGATTCATTTAAACACTTCCACTCCCAAGCTTGGTATGACATTATGTGTTGTCTCGCGGTAAACCAAAGTCTGCTACACAGCCGTTTTTAGTGTCGTCACGCAACGGGTGTGTAGCAGACTAGGTAAACCAGGTCTCGGGGAAAATTATTTTAGGAAGCTGGCCGGACACGACAACTGGCCCAAGAAATTTTTGGCATTGCTCGGTAAAGACTCTTTTCTGACCGGTCAAAACTTATCAACGTATTAACTTATCCTTTTCTCGTGAATTTTTTTTTACTAGAGACAAAATCTAAAATTCATGGGTGAGGATTTAGCTGTTTGTTCAAGAATGAGAGTGCGCGTGACTGGTCAACGGTTTTCAGCCGGTCAAGTCGCCATTCAGGTAGGACATTGTCCTTCGACCGGCCGTTATTACGAGCCCTGTAAACCAAGACAGCTTCCTCTCTTAAAACGAACCTGTAAGTAATTCAATGCAACTTTCGTTTCAACCAAAATCAAAATGCAGGGAAAAACGGCCGTCTCTCTTAGGCCCCGACTTGTCCCGCGTAGTAGGGTCACTCTCCCAACTGAGCTACCCTGGGCGAGCCAACCTTTCCTACACTTCCCAATAAAACGTGGCAAACCGTTCACATGAGAAACAAAACGTTGCCTCGGTTATAAGGGGTGGGTCACCCTTTTTTCATGTTGGTTCACCCTACTAGTCGTTCCAACTGTTTTCCAAATAAACACTTTGGCTCACTCAACCAGGTCAACTTGGCCGAGGCGAGACAACCAGAGCCCGCGAGAGCGCTTTTAGCTCGGGCAAATGCTCAACTTTTTATCTATAAACGCTCGCTAAATTTGACTTGGCTGGGAGGTTGACCCTCTTTCCCGGGACAACTATTCTCCGTATAAAAGGGGTCTAAGAGTGATGTCTGCCCGCGAGAATAAAAAAAATATGACTGAAGAACGGTCAATACTATTACTTAAGTGTCCCAAGGCATGGCTTCTTTCCCAAAGGTCTTCCAATCCGTTTTGGAGATTAGCGCAAATATGGATTACCAAGCCAAGCAGTCGATTAACTGGTCTTCCTACCAACTATGGTATAGACGTACCTCGTTTTCTCCTTTGCGTAGCCATGGAGCAGGAAGATACAACGTCTCCTGTGGCCCCAGATTCCAGTACCTTCCTAAATTATGTCCATTAATGAATACCACGCCTTTGGTCCAACCTTTCATGTACAGAAAACTGTCCTTTGGCTTATCTGTGATCCCTAATATTCCTCGATAAAGTGATGGAATAGACGGTAAACTACCTTCCTTCACTTTCTTCCACTCCACTTGTTCATTTAACCTTCAATCAAGATAGAAGTAAGCATTAGTTTATTGCTGAATCCTGTGGCAAGGCGCTATTGTTGACAGGAGTTTCACGAGTGCACATCCATAATAATGCATCGCACTCTGGGCTGTAAAAATAGAGATTTTTTCACGTCAAACGACAAACGTCAGATTCAAGTTTTTGGCAGTTTCTTAAATTAGGAATGAACAGATGAAAACTACATCAAACGATTTGAAGATGAAGCTACTGATACTAATCTTTGTTTAGATCAAATGAACAGTACAGGGCGAGTAATAGGAAAACTTCTTTGGTCAAATGGTACAAATTGCCGTTTGCGGTAAACGCGATTTTAAATCTCTGCAGTAACTGCTTTTTTGCCTAACAAAAGCGGTAGCAAATGTCTGTTTACGTTCGTCCTTTCACAACAAATACAACAAAATGTCATATCTTTGTATGCCTTTGCACGACTGTAGCTGTAAAGAAGGGCAGTTTCAATTATACTTACTTCTTGAAGAAGTTCTCCTTGAAGTCCATCGGAAAAATCCTCCAATTGCCTTGTTTTTGCCCGTCAATCAAAACATCACCGAGTATACCTGTATGGCACGTAATACAATAATTTTACATATAATGGCACTGAATGGAACTACTCTTATGCTCAAATAGCGTTACTAATATGCTTCATTATAATTAACATTAAACTGCTCTTTTTGCATGATTTTCCTCGCCCGATTGAGACAGCTCATGACAATGTTCAAGCACTGGAACTGCTAAGAGCCACATTTTTGCTAATTTGTAACCCGGCGTGGTCTTAAAATGTGATCCACGGCCTGGTGTCCCATATGGAAATTCTATAGTTTTGGCAAAGTTCTTAAAAAACAAAAACAGTCAAAGAATCGTTGCACTATTACTACTCAAGCATAATGCGCGATTCTTTTTGCCTCGCTATTATGCTCATTACGCTGGCATACTGTGGACAAACCTAGTCTTGGTCACAAAGGACAGCAAGTAAATGTTATTGATGTTAGCTGTCTCAATACGTACACCCTCAAATTACAGGTAAAATATTTACGAAGTTCGTGCATGTTAATCAATCTTTGGTCTTAGTCATAGTATATTAGCTCTGTTTTTCCCTAAACTATCCTGGCTACCTTTACGCTGTCGGTTGATATCCGGTAAAAAGTTGACACGTCCCATGTTTTCAACAAGAATATCAAGTTGTAATTCTGAAGGGGCCTACAAGAAGAATTAACAAACATTCAAGGTCAAGCTAAAGTAGCATAGTAGGGTGCTGTGGAATCTGTTTACTGAACAGGTGAGCCCTTGCGGAATATGCAAAGCGGAGAGTAAGGAATAGATAAACAAACCAGACAAATAACCACTCTGGAATCTTTCACTCTTTACGAACTTCTTGCATTTATTTATTTCGCTCGCTAATTTCTTTGTTTAATAGACCTTATTCACGATACTCGCTATCTTTGCACGCGCTTTAGGATTGATGGGACACGTGGTATTTCAGGGAGCAAACACGCGATAAAATTTGCCAAAACAAGTAATCGTTGGCGAGTTTATTTAAAATCTCAAAAGGAGACGGCGATTTTAGTCATGCAAATTGCACGCTTCGAGTTTCGACAGGTTTAACGTCGTTAACACTTGCTCTGCGGTCATCTACGGTCGCTACAGCATGCAGAAAAGTAACTATGATCACTTCCACCCATAATTTGCTATTTTTGTCTCTAAGATAAAAAATGCTCGTTTTCTTAAGTCTAGAAAACACAAAGTCAAACTTGTTTGCGCACGTGAAAAACTACGTGACATCGCTCTTATCCCATTAGTCTTTAAGCACATACAAGGAAGGCGGGTATTGTGAATAACGTCTATTCTGCATTTAGATTTGCCCTTTCAACACCAAAAAGTGACTTGAAAGCACTAAATAAGCCTTTTTGAGGGGGAATCACAATGTGAAGAGGCATACCTTAACACTGATAATGTCAAAAGCTACTGTCTTTCCCTGCTAGCAGAGGTCTCTCATGGCAAGAGAAAAAAGGGAGGAAGGAGAGAGACCTCTGCCGTCTCCCGACTCGCTCTTTCGTTAAGTCACCGACCATACTTGTGGTCGAAACGTACTGGTTTTCAAAATCAGTTTCGTTAAATGTGGAATGCGCATGCCCTGTTGAGACTTTACGCTGGAAATTTCTGAGCCCACGGTTGTCATCACGCAAACAGGTTCTGAAAGTTGTGAAGCACGTGACTAAAAGGTTACTGATTGTTAAGGAAAGGCCAGTGCATGCGTGAGAGGAAACGCATCGGAGGCCGGCAGAGGTTTCTTCCTTTCCTATCATTTTTCTCTCTCCGCGAGGGACCTCTGTCAGCAGAGAAAAACTGCCTAAATCGCACGGATAAATTGCCATAGATCACTGGAATCAAAATAGGGTGACGTCACGTTCTATTGGCTTCGGTCTTTCAACAAGTTTTTAACCAGTTTGACAGGTTTCTAAATTGTTTTGGATCGATCACAATCTGACCTAACCTCCAGATCTTACCTCCATATCCGCGACTTTAATTACCACTTCCCAAAGTTCCTTCTCATCAATGTATTGTTTCTCCTTATCCATTGCATCAATTGTATGAAGAAGTTTGAAATCAAGGAACACCTGAAGCAGATTTTTGAAAGGTTAGTTCCAAAGAATGCGATCTTTGGATCATAAATCTTGAGCCGGATCATTCCCAAAAGATCGCAATCATATAAATTCTTACGTGTAAAAACGCGTTATTGTTTTACAAGGGTACAAAGTATTTTCGACCATTAACTGTGTATTAGCAATTTCATTCTTGAACGTAGCCACCTCCCAAAGACCTTGAACACAGTAAACCTTCATTCTGGAGCCACTCCACCTACGCCTTAATTTCAAATAGATCAGGAAGTTGTTGTCACGAAGTGGAAGAGAGACAGGTGTCATTCTCGAAGGCAGTGTCGAATCAAATGGAAGCTATAGGGACGGGCCTATCTAGGGTATTTGAGGAGTAGAAGCTTCTCCCCCCAAAAATATTGTTATCATAACGGTATATAAGTAACTATATCGGAAAAATCATCTAGACGCGACGAGGTCAGTGTACGAGAAGTAAGTATTCCCTGTCTAAGGATACTATATGACAAGGAACATAGAGTATTGTAACATTGTCATAACGTGATCACGACTAAAAAATTAAATGAAATACCACTATAACATTTCTCAAAATTGTGTCTCAAAATGCACCAGATTGCATCTCAGCGCATATTCTTTTCAAACAATTCCCGGGGACCCCCCTAGGAAGTTCGTGGCAGAAGGCAGGACTTCTTCCCCAAACGATAAATCTCAGATAGAACCCTGTAGTGCATGAGTGCTTAGTACCTGTGCTCTGTCATAGACATGCTGGATTGTTATTTGCTTGGGGACGCGTTTAAGTGTTGTCTGATAAAGAATGAAGCCATAGCCCTGTCCGCCATTATTGTTGATTGGCAGCTTTTCCATGGCCATCACATTCATGCTTTCAACTGGTGGACCCTTTAAAATGATGAAAAACGAACATAAAATCAATTTCCATGGAAAATAGTACAACCAATCTTCACTCAGTAAAATCAGTAAAGCGATATCGATACATGAGGCCATAGTAAGAGGTTAATCAAGTAATCAAGAGTTCCGTCTTTTTGAACACAACAATTTGGTTGTTGTCAATCAGCGGAAACAAGCGAAAAACGTTTCCAGCAGACTAGGGTGACAATTTTTTAAAAACAAAATGAAATTCACACTTACAATATGCAAACACAAAATCATGTCTTAGCGCCTGTTTACATGGAAGTAGGGGACCCCAGGTAGGTGAGGTAACTTGCTTAGGTGGAGTGACCTGCCTCGCCATGTAATATCTCATTTTAACGGTAATTTGGTCAGGTTTACATGATAGATAGGGTGACCATCCTCCAGCTCCACGTAAACAGGCCCTATGTGCCCTAACATAGTCGTTTAAACCTAAGTGAAGATATCACCCTAACAATAAAGCACATATGCGAAACGAATATGGCTTAAACAATAGTTCAAGGGTTTGAAGGTTTTTAAGGCTAGTAGTCACCTAATTTAAAAATTAATGTAGGTTACTAAAAAGATAATTTCTTCCAGTATTTAGTTCTATTATTTGTTATAGTTTAAGTTAGGTGTGATTCTTCTTATATTTGTTTTTAAGTCATCAATTAACATAGCCGATACAGTTTAAACCGTAAATAGACTCACAAATAACGGCACCAAGTCGCCAAGGTCCTGAACGTGCTGCATCTCAACATCTTCTGCAAAATAAAATGACGGAAAAAATAAACATCTTATCTTACTGAAGTTTTATACATTACATACAAGAAGAAAAACATCACACTTTAATATTATCACACATTTGCAAAATAATCATATCAAGAATATTATAATTACCCTACCGTATTCTGCTCTCTCATGATCGCTTACTGCAACTGAAAAAAACGAGAATTCATAAACATAAACGTTGTGAATAACAACATTCAAAACTTATCTTCATATCAAAAACTGCTTCATTGACTCGGGATCTATGAACAGTGAAAAATGACTGAAGTGCAATGAAGAATTGACCTAACACAAAGTCACATGGACAGGTACCAAGGATAAAGGCTGGGAGAAAGAGTTGGAGAAAAGAAGTATTCCCCACGTCAGAAACTGTAGGAAGAAAACGTACAAGCCTTGGATGCAGTAATTTCTGGGTTCGTTATGGTGGACAAGCGTTAGGTCAGCCTTAGTTATGATTGGTCGATGGTATTCAAGGCAACCATTAACCAATGGTAAGTAACACGATCCCAGAAGTCGTTGCCCCAAAAGCTTGTATTCCATTCCCTTTTATAATTTCTGAAAGGGGGAATTAAAATTTTTCAGTCTGCTGTTTCATCTTACTTGGAGAAAGGGCCTCTACATTATACTTTTTCAAGACTTCTTTCAGTGCTTTAAACTTCGCAGTCATATCACCAGCTTCCGACAGAGGAGCATCATAATCTAGAATAATGATGCAAACACAGGAAACCACAGAATGATTTAGAATAGTCATATAAAATAAAAGATACTTTCAAACCATCCTGGTTTATTTAGTGGTGTTAACTGATATCCTGTCTAAAACATTAATATATTCCAAGTGTTTTTTTCTTCGTGGATGGGAAAAAAAAAAGTTTCCGAGTTTGCTGACGCCGTGTCTACCTAAACATCAGTGTCCGGCTTTACACACACACGAGCAAAAACGTTAGGGAAAAACAAACAAACAATGACAAGTAGATTGTCACTCTTGCTTTGAAACGATTCCCAGACAAATTTCTCAGCGACCGTTCAACCTCGTTAACAATTCGAATTTTGTCAATTTTCCCGCTGTTTTAGCTGCAATCAGTGGATAAACGTTCTTCAACTTCGTTATTAACATCTTCTCTGAAAGCTAAATGTATTGTAGGAACATATGAAAGCGTGCTAGCGCCATCCATGCATGCAAACTAAGCAAAACACATTGGGGGAAATAGCCTGAGAACGAAAACGTACTGCAAGATATGCAGTGCGTTTTTGTTAACACAAAAATAAAGGTTTTCGGATACGCATTAGTTTGTAGAGGGCCTGATCGCTTCGCTCGCCGATTTTTGCTGTTTCACCCCGTTTTTGGCTTTACCCCACTAAGGAGCCTGGTCCCAGGCTACTTTACGCGGGGAGGGGGGGGGGGTTTGGGGGGAGGGGGCTGAGAGACTAGAGTACAGTAAGTAATGGGTTGAATTGTTAGATTGTTAGACGACTTACCATATGAGGTGACTGTTGGTTGGTACTTGAATTCACCTTTTATAGCATTTGCACCATTCATGAAACCAAAATTTGTTCCCCCTGGAAAACAATGAGTCATTATTCAAATTTAACATTAATTACTTAATGACTGGTCCTTAGTGAAACAGTTCACTTTGTTTCCCGTACACTCTATTAAACGGGACAAGCAGTTTTTCCAGCTAGGAAAGTAACAATATTAAGCTTACTTGCTCAATGGGCAAGTCATCTTCTAGCCTTGTTCGCCCTCAGCAAGCAAAATGTAAAAGCGGCTTGTGAAAAAGAAAAGCTGTAATTCAAGTTTCTTTGAAGCCCTGATATCACCATGTCATCGTTATCAACATCATTTCGTTATCATCATCATCCGTCATCATCACCATCATCGTTATCATCATCATCATCATCATCACCATCATCATACCAAAAACATCCCAACATTCAAATAAACAACAGACTTTATTGCCTTATGCTCTTGCTCTGTGCTACCGTGTATATCTTTAAATAACTAAAAACTGAACTTTATTTAAAAAAACAAAAACCCCTGTGACACAGCCGACTTTCAAGCCACGTGACTTCTCTGAGGGTCTACTGAATAAAATCACACACTGTACCATGAAACATGTAGAAGTTGATAGAGGCTCCAAGCTTCAGTATGTTTGAGACTCGTTCAACAACTTTCTCCACCTCCATCTCGTGATGCTGTTCTCCCCAGTGATCAAACCAGCCTGGCCAAAATTCAGTTACCATCAGTGGTTTATCAGGCTGCAAAAAATCAACTAATTAACTAGAAATACAATATACCTTATCGCAAAAACCTCGCGCAGCTGTAAAGGGTCAGCAATGTGAATAAAGGGAAACAAGACAAAGGGGAAAATACGATCAAAAAATCAAAAACTAAACAGACAAAAAAAAAGTACAACAAAGAAAAAAAAGGTTGCTTGACCGGAATTGGGACCTACAATGCACCCGCACTTTGCACGTGAAATCAGCTTTAAGACAATGGCGCCACACTGCCACTGAACAATTATGTAGGTAAAACTATTTATTTATTTATTTGTGTTGTCACTCACATAAAATGACAATAAAACGTTACAAAAGGTGTGAATTAAAATATAAGTTAATGTGACAAGGAAGCCTAAAGAAGATGAAAGCTTATATTAATAGGCTTACCTATTAATAAAAACTTACTTGAGTGCAGAGTGGACAGAAAACAAAACTTAAGCGACAGAATGACTATAAATGAGATAATTTTTCAGATTTTTTCAAAAAACAAATATGGAAGAAAAGCTGGTTAGTGAAATTGACGACGAATTCCAGATTGTTGGTCCTCGATAGAGGATACTGAACTGCTTAATATTATTTCTACAAAAATGAGGTCAGTACTGAAAGGCTAGTCGAGTTTCATAATGGTGAACCTGATTAATACTTCAAAAGAGGTTACGAAAGCTACTAGGCAGAAGATTATGATTATGGTTATTATATTTCAATAATGATGACGATGATGACGTCATTACACAAACCATTGGAAATGTACAAATATAAATCGGCTATTAAACTGAGTTTGCAGGCCGCGCGGCTATGATCCACGCGCGATCGTGAACTAATTATACACTCGCTCCGCCGTCGCGAGGATTAAAATAAATAAATAAACAGCCACAACACGGTAACGTGTCAATTATTTAATTTCCCATCAGGCTGCTGTTGTAAAATGGGTGATGAAACATTGGGGCTTTCCATTCAGCCCAAAATTTAGCAATTCTTGGTTAGAAATAAAATGGAACAGACCACTGTTTAGGTTTGGTCCGACTGGTCCTCTTTGACTGATCTGGTCATTTCGGTCGGTCAGACGGAAATGTTCCTTTCCATTTCACAGTTGTTGTCCTGTTAGTACTGCTCTTCTGTATCCTGCTTACCAATACAATAAACAAACGCGCGGTGGCTTGGGTCAGGTCTGTGCAACCGGAATGTACCGTTCCATTGGACAAGTGGAATTTCCAAAATTTCAAACCGGAATTTTTTTGAATGGAAAGCGTTCATTAACTCGCGACTCACAAATTGAAGTGTTTTGTTGTATCGGTTATCTTGGTCATTGAACACATCAAAATAATAAGACGTTTGCAGCACCTGCGTTTCTGAAGTCAAGGAAATGGGCTAGAAGCAGAAGAAGTTTTCAATCTCTACCGTTAATAGCAGCCTACCGGTATTTAAGTTACAGTGGAATACAAATTTTTCAAAAAGCAAATTTGTTCAAACTATCGTTAGCCTTTATTTACAGTATTTAACCAAGCAAGGCTCAACTCAGGTTTGGTTTAGAGAATTGGGAGATTAAAGATACCAAGGGTTAATAGCTAAGTTGTAAAAACCAAATATTGATATTTCACTTCAATTCCCAACCAACGTAACAGCACAATACCTTCCGCATCAAATCTTTAAGAACTACCTTGAAACCACATTTACCACTTCTATTTGTTCAGACCACAATCATCACAAATTTAAACCTTTGAAGAGATGCTTCTTTTGAAGCATTAGATACTGAGGAGTTACCTGTAGCTCTTTCAGCCTGTTTAGATAAGCCGTTTCATTTCTCTGAAAGTTTGCTGTCTTTAATACTGAAATCAAACAGAAATTGGGGCATTTTACAGGAATCTTCGGAAGAAGGGTCAAGGTGCCACAGACACTGATGTATCCATGACATAAAACAAGGACATTACAACACTTTCTGTAACTTTTTTTGTGAGTAAGAACATGCAATCATTTAAGATAGGGAACTGTGTCAAGGAAGTTCAGTTAATTTTCTGGGGTTTGCCAAATACGAGTGTTCTTAAGAAACTTAATGTGTGTTATGATAGTCAAATACTTCTAAACAAATTCATATAATGGCTTCATAACTGTGAAACAAAATAATTTGTATCCCAAGTATTTAGAGCTACAAAACGTATTGGGGCTGCCAGCTTCAGAAACCCCAGTTCAATATAAATTGCAATCCATTTAATTTTATTCAGTTTGAGTTATCACTGTTTTATATTATTTACTGTTGGTGGTATTTTAATGTTCTTTACAGTTTTAGGTGGTTATTTGTACTTCACTAAAATTGGTGAGCAGTTATTCCTTGACCGCTAAATTTTTCTTAACTTCATGATCTACAACTCCTTTACATTTTGTGAATGATTAACCTAAGTTAAGTTGATGTGCTTCTTGAGTAACAGAGAGTTTCGTAACCTATATTACCCTTAACCGAAATTAAGGATACTTCAAAAATACTTCACGTACACTGTATATTAGGAGGCAGTCACCTTGATATCTTTTCAACACAAAAGTACACTAAAAGTATGCTAAATTTCAGTGTTCTTCTATTGAAAACATAATTGAGATCATGTAAACATTCTACAGATTGGTGAAGTACATAGCACATTCCTAGATGAACAGATGCACAGAGCACACATCAGGTATTGTTTGGCTTCGTAAGAAGATCATCCGCCAAATTGTCTGTGTTTTCCATGGGCAAAATAGGCATGTAAAGTCGCACAGTTTATTTCTGGTCATTTCTTTAAGGTACAGTTACGAAGTTCGTGGAATTTTTGCATTTGGCTGTAAAAGATACTGGTCCACGCGGTTTACTTGCTATTTAAGAGAATCTAAAGAAATAGAACGTTACCTCCTGGCAACTCGGGGAAGTAATCTGCCTCCATATGGCGGATGCCATCTGATGTAAACAAGAGTTCAGAAATGCCATTCTCAATCATTATCTGAAAGAACAGTACAAATATACAACAGACACTGATGTCTCTTAATTGGTTTGACACGAACATTTCATACCTCACAGTTTAATTACTAACATGCAAAAAAATAAAAGGAAATCCTTTGATCTTCTTTGGGTGGCAAGGGCAAGAAAAGGATGGCTCATACATTTGCACTACCATTCATCTGCCCATAGTCCAGAATCGGACTTTGTTTGATTGGTCATTAGAACAAAAGAGTCTTTGAGCACTGTTCTGATACTTGATTGACCACATCATGTTAGACTTCTGGAGCAAATTTCAATGCACAAAGGTATTTAATAGCGGCGGCTTAATAGAGGAAGATTTGGACAGTGAATTTCTGCTGCTTTAACTTTGTTTCTGCTAGATTTTATGAACAAAACCTTGAAGGAGAGGTGGAAGGAATGTATACGAAGGGTCATTTACTTGAAAGAAGTCATATTAGCTATTGGCAATCTTTGGTTACTAACAGCAGCATTCACAGTCTCTTTGTTGCTGGGTATTTATTTGTCATGAATCACGTTTGATCGTTGTATTGATTAATGCCATTAACAAAAATGAATGATAAAGGTTTCTGATGTTTCACCAATTTTGTCCTGAGTTCTTTGTTTATTATTGGTGTAAGCAAAGGTTAAGACTCATAAGAATAGCAAGGCTTTTAAAGGGGCTGTGTCATGGCAGTCCAGTTCATTTTGTTTGATTTTGCCAATTACTCGCCCTCAATCGCTACGGAACTTAAAGTAAGCAAAGAAATTACGTGCAAATGACAAAATCAGAGATCCGACACAAACAAAAATGTCTCCTGAGAACTTTTTTTTTAAGTTGCAAGCAGCAGGGATCAACTTTGAAAAACTGTTAGACTGAACAGTTTTCAAAAATCCCAATTTCAATCCGTTTCAATCTACTTCAGTTTTGCCCATCGGTGGCATCTGTTGTTTCTGTTATGTTACTTTAACCTTCCTTTAAAGTTTTAAGTGGTTATTTTTATGGTTCTCTTAATTTAACGGGCATTTTGTAATTTCCTAATTTGGGTGAATTTGCTGACACAGCTCCTTTAACTTAAATTAAAAATCACATGTGTCCCTCCTTTCTACAAGCTAGTTGAATTCCCAGTAGCTTGATGCAGCATAACATGTTGACAGGTTAAAGCACTGTGGGGGCAGCAGGTGACTTGAATTTAGTGAAATTGTATAAGGCATTCCTTTTTTCCCCTTTGGCCGTTGCTCCTTCCCCCCCCCCCTCCCCCCCCCCCCTCCAAAAAACAAGGCCTGGTCACAAGTTGACCGTTTACTCTCTTGATCATAAAATGATTTTCTTACTGTTTTAAGATGTGTCATGTATTTAACATCAATTTCATCTGCACCAAAGCTTCCATACTCATTTTCCACTTGAAAGGCAATGACCGGGCCACCATGGGAAAACTGAAAAGATGAGGCAAATTACGCCAGTAATTAAATCAAATACAGCAAAGAAGCAGGAGTTCACAGGACCATTTCTAATACAGTTGAACCACCTATGATGTGGCCACTTGCCACTATCGCGAGGGTCAGGCCGCTTGATGGAGGTTCAACATGAAGTGCTTAACAGAGGTCTCTCTGGTAACACTGGTTCCTTTTGCAAAAAAAATGTGAAGAAAGTTGGGAAGTTACTGACAGAAGCTCGCTGTGTAATGTGGAGTATGCTTATGGTTTCAATATATTACATTTGATGAAGGAGAATGCATTCTAATCTTGCAATCATGACAAAGATATTTTTCTGCAGTAAGGCTCTGTGCCTGCCTTCTTGCATTTTGCAAGGAGGCAATTTTCACCTTTTCAAGAAACTTGAGACTACTTTCTTTTTCATCAGTCACATCTCCAAGGTAAACCCACATGTACACCTGCACTTCCTCGCCAATGGCTATAACCAAGATAGTACACGTGCTCTGATGGACCAAGAGTCATGTTTGCATGAGAGTATGTAAACATGGTTGAGATGTCAAGATGTTTTGCTTTTTGGTGTGCTAATCACGCAAGCACAAATTTGAAAAAATTTTGAGTTGATATTCGACATTCGACAAGTTTTCCTTATTTACCCATTCCCTAATCAGCTGAAACCTGAAAAATCTTTACAAAACATGCCGTGTCAATTTTTTTTTGCTAATGCGGACATTTTAAGCGAGAAAAATCCATATTTTGGAAAGCCTCTTTTTAGCAAGACTTCGCGACTGGTGAGAATTTCTCTTTTAATCAGTGCCATAATAAAGAATTTTGCATTTTTTCACTGAAAAGTTAATTTATAAAAGCAATAGAAAACTTTTTTCCTGTACTGCATAGCCCGATATAAACACTCAAGACTGGGAGAATTCTCAAGTTATGCAAACCCTTGACTTCGTCTTGGGTTTGCATAACTTATGTTTATATTAGGCAATGAAAATACAGAAAACATTTTCTATTGCTTAAATATTTTCAAGTTTGAAACACATACACGTCCTTTGAAGAATTCTATCTATGAATATGCCACCAATATGTCTTCTTCTTAACACACTTACTATGGTTCTCACCATCAATATGTTACAGACCCTTTCCCTTGTTTTACTTCAATTATTTTATTATACCAAGTATTTTCTACATTACCTGTAAAGGGACAAGTTTCTGAAGTAGTTTCTTAAAATATTTATCCACTGCATGAATATAAGGAGGATACGAAGTCCTCAATTTCATTTTTGAATCACGCAGCAACCAACTGTAAAGAAAAAAAGAGGTTGTTGGGACAAAAAAACAGTCAGTGATGTGTTAAAAAAGGCTGGGGCAAAATAGAAAATGACAAATACACTCTTTGACCAACTTTTCGTAAAAGTTTCTGAAAGTTTATTTTTCCCTGACTGTGAGTCACTATGCCTAGTGGTGTGTCAGTCATTGATTATAGTCGATCATCTATTACAATCTTTAGACAATGTGATTGATGAAATTATACGCATTGTTTCTCCAATGTAGAAATCAATAAATTTCTAGACAGTTAAAATATTTTTTCAAACATATTTCCCAAAAAGTGTTTTCCAGGAAACTTATCAGCGTTTTTGATTTTTGTAACCTGGCCAGCAATATTTTACAGGAGGTTCCTAAAATGTCACCCCTATTGCATAATTAAGGATCTAGAGTGATATACAGAAAAAACTCCAATTTGTGTAAGAAAGACAATCAAACTACAGAGTGGAGACATGTCCTGCACTTCATCTCCACAGAAAATATAACTTTTTGTGATTGCATTACTGTTTTATTAATCTGGGAGGTACTTTAGAAATTTTGGGGTGGGGATGTGGGGCTAGGACCTTGGAACCCTTAGCCTATACCAGACCTTAAGTCCAGATGAATTTTGCTACCATTATACTCGACTAAACTTCTAAAATCCCTTCCTATCCTAGAGTCACCATTTGCCAGAAACTGCTGAGGTAGATGCTTTCTTTGCTATTAAATTGTTGCAGGTAAATTAAATTTGCTGATTTCATATTTTTTACTGTTAATTCCCAGTTTCCCTATTCTAGACTAAAATTTTCAACCAAATGATCACCTTTTTTTTTTCCTGGGAAAAAGATACCCTATTATACTAACTGCTTGGAAAATATAGTATTACCCTTAACAGCAGCACATACCTATAAATTATAGCCCATGTATGGCAGTACCCCCTGGTTTATTATATTAACCAACTCAAGATTGGCTACTAATAATTAATTAATAATTCCAAATTTGGTCAACAATAGCTGGTTATGATGATATATGTATGGATTTTAGCCAGTCAGAAATGGAGAAATATTTTGGATGAATAATAACTGTCAATATTGATCATTAATAGCTTAATACCTTGGTAATCCTCCAAGCTCCCACTCAGCACATATGTATGGTCCAGGACGCACAATCACATATAACCCAACTGACTGAGCCAGTTTAATAAAATGGCTACACAGTAATAAAAAAACAAGAAAGACGTTTATATTTATGAGAAAACTCCACCCGATAAATGATGCTTTAAATAGTTTTTATGATTTTTTTCTAAGTTTGTGAGTGTATGTAGAATATTGTCTAAATCCTGCAATCTGATTTGTTCTGGGAGTGGGTGGTTTTATGATCTTGCCAACTAACCCGGGCAGAATTGTTGTGCTCTCATTCACAATTCTGCTTGTAGTTTATGAATGAGCAAAAGCTGTGATTTTATAAACCTGAAAAAGTGAATTTTATTATTCAGAGAAAATAATATACCTTTGACAAGTTCCCAGAAGATCGATCGAATGGAAGAGTAATATATAAGAAGGTTGAAGAAGATGACTCCTAAAATTCTTGGACTTGTCCTACTTGCGTTTTGCTGAGAACTTGTCAATTTTAATGCACTTCATTTGGAGTGCCAGAAAACAAATTGTGTAGATTGAGTCATTCATATTCAATATAATTTCTGGGGACTTCGTTACATAGTTTGTTATATCAAAGTTCCACTGTACATAAGATGTTAAGTTTGTCTGACTTTTGTTTTTTGCAAATTAGTCACTTTGACAACATTTGTGTGCTGTTCTATACTTAAGCAATTGAAATTCATCTCACTCATATTATTTACATATTCTTAAAAACAATCTCATTTTATTATATAAAATGCCCTTACACTATATCCAAAATCCCTTCAAAGTTGAACTGTCCTTTAACTTCTTCATGCAAATTCCAAGGAACATAACTGTGAAAGAAACAAAAACAATAATGAAGTTGCCATACAAAAACACCTCAAGCTGCAACTAGTTCTAACCACCTTTAATCCACCTCCAGAAGTATTCCTTGATCCCAAAATGTCAAGAAAGGTCTTTGCAACACACCCAAATGATTCAGTGTCTAAAGTATCACCCACTTTTGTCTACGCTGGAAGCCTGCTGATTTAAATGCAAAAGTAGACAAGAACCCATCAAATTCAATGTGCATTGGGTTTTTCATTTTTTTCAATACAGTGGAATCTCTTTTCAGGGGACATTCAACCTTGGCACAAGGCAAGTGTCCCCTGGATGGAGGTTTGGATGCAGTTTGTTAACAATTAACCAACAAATAAAATATTTTTCTTTTATTCTGCCTCAGAATCTGCTGCAGTCATTACTTAGCTTCAAGCAGGTAGATAATGTATAAAAAAATCACGATCAACTTAATTATCTCTGTGATGCTGTATGTTGAAGTACACCAACTTAAAGTGCGGTAGTTCATGTTCTGAAAGCTGTCACCATTATGACTAGTGAACGTTGCAACTTTATATTAACAATTTTTGTGGTCAGTCACTTTTTGATTGATAAGGTGTCCCATAATTAGACAATAAATCTGGCTTTCAGGATCCAGACAACAGTTCCTTTCCCCAGAATAATGGTTAAATTCCCTTCAATAGAGGTAACAAATACAAATATGATGTGAACTTTTTTCTGGGACCAAATTTTGTGTTCCTTGAATGGAGGTGTTAGGGTTAGGACTAGGAGAGGTTGCACTGTATAATCCTAGCCTAAGCTAGAAGACAAAGGAAATTGAGAGTTAATCTATTTCAGGTTTTTAAAGTGACTTGGCACTTTATTTTGAGACTACATGTGAATGTTGACCTCACTCATGCTTAAGGAAAGGTACATTGTTGCTCAGAAGTCACAGTTAAGGTCTAGGAGAATGGTTCTAATGACATTTTGAGGAAAGAATTCATGTCTCAAGGTGCTTTTAAATTCAATTTAAAACTTAAAATCATGAAATCGTGTTGTGCTTTCAAACGTCAAGTCCAGTTTTATATAGGATTTGATGCCAAGATGAACACCCTTCTGTTTGGTATGGTGCCTTTCTCGTGATTGGTTGAACCACTTTGTTTTCTTATCAAACCTGATAAAGCTTACCTCGGAAACTGTCATAGAAAATTCTTTAGTTCTATTTTATGTATCCAAGGAAATTTCAATGAGTTACTTATGACAATTTTACTGGGAAAATCTGTCACATACAGAGAGTTCATTCCCCATGGGTGTACGAGATTCTTTCACACAGGGGTAAACTAGAGTTGGTAAAGGAGGGATCTCGATCATAATGCCGTTCTTTCACAGTTCCCGAAAACAATTGACATAATGAGAATCCAGTTTCCCAAAAATTAATTGGTGGTTTGAAAACCACAACTCACAATGAAAAAAATATCCATTTTACATTTCACAAGAAAAATGAATGGCTGAGAAAATACCCTTTACTACCCTCTAAAACAGTTAGTAAGTGTAACATATTATTACTACGTCAACAAAGTTAGGCTCAAATATTATGTCTAACCTTGTTGACGTACTAATAATAAGATACACTTATTAACTATTTTAGAGGGTAGTAAAGGGTATTTTTTTCTCATGAAATGTGAAATGGTCAATTTTTCCATAGTGAGTTGTGGCTTTCATAGCATCCATTAATTTTTTGGGAACTGGATGCAAACAGGTATATTTTATAGTGAAATGTTGAAAAAGGAACGATATTAACTGCTGCTAGAAAAATCGACAAATGCCCCACCTGCGGGCAGAGGTTTTCTGACAAATCCCCACCAGCTAGTAAGTGTAACTTATTACTAGTACGTCAACAAGGTTAGGCTCAAATACTACCAAGCGTGCCCATACCTTCTCCCCCCCCCTCCCACCACGTGCATTAGTCAGGCATTTATCATTTTGTTGGTCCTGGTGGTGGGGATTGTCAGAAAACCTCTGCCTGCAGGTGGGGCATTTGCCAAAAGCAGTTAAGGTCATTCCTTTTTCAACATTTCACTATAAAATATACCTATTTGCATCCATCTAAGAAACTGCTTCCCATCATTGAGATCAGCTCCCACATGGAAGAAAACCAATTCATGTATCGTTTGAAGAGTTTAAATGAAAAGATACTTTCTGCCCGGGCAGGGGGGGAATAGGCACGCTTGGAATTGACTGAGCCATTAATTAAAAGAATCGGTAATTAAGCTTATACATAAGCATTAGTTAACGGTACTTACGTCTCCACTGTGTTTAATCCCATAGCTTTAAGCTTTAACAGACGATCTTTCCAATACTCAGGTACCACTCGGAAGTAATGAATCGCGCCGCTCAGTATTCGAAACGGTTTTCCCTCGAGTAAGAATTGTTGTTTCTCCGTCCGTAACACTCGTTGTTCCATAGGTAACCCACGAAACACACGAAAAGCCGTCCATAAAATAATGAAGGCTGAGATTCCAAGAATGATGAGCACTGGCTTTGAACGAATATGTATTGTATTCATTGTCATTGCAAAGTAGAGGAAATAATCAAATCTGACGAGTGCGGCGCTACAGATTGTACTGACTACAACAAAGGTTTGGAGGAAAATCTGATCTGTCACTACCAACACATGCGGACAACAATGGTCTCTATTGGAAGTTGCATTCCAGAAAAACACTACAAGATGATAAGAAGCTTAAATATAGCTGTTCAGGAGCTTGAAATAATTGAATGATGTGTATAGAATATTAAAATTATCTCCTTGAGACTGTCTCCGGCGCCACGGATATGCGGACACGTCACAGCCACCGAAGGCGATACGCTCCAAATCAAACCTGGCTACAACGGGCTAGTCCGTTGTGTCTTCAACACCATTATGTTTCCTCGAAAGGACATTCGAGCCAAAAAAGCGTTGGAAGTCTTTAGTTGAAAGCGAGAAATTCCCGTCACATGTACCGTCCTGCAAAACGAGGTACTTTCCGTTCCAACATTCCCAGATGTCTTGTCGACGAAAAGATCTGGGACGAGATTAGAGATTCCCATGTTGCCTCGCGCTACGCTTGTTTACCCTTTCGTGCGAGTGAACATTCATACTTTGGATTAAAATATTCCGCAGTTGGTTAGCCTGAGAAAAAAGACGACATTTCGCGACGCCACCAACGGTTTCCCCGCGAATTCACACTGATGACGCGTCACTACCTAGATCTGGGTAGTGCTTCTGATATGGTCGTGCCGCTCGTGAAATTTGCTTCAACCAATCAGAAGCACTACCCAGATCTGAGTAGTGAGGCGTCATCAGTACGGAACTTCTGCGCCCGTTTCTCAGACGTAATTTCGCGGGGAAACCGTTGGTGGCGTCACGAAATGTCGGCTGTTTTCTCAGGCTACAGTTGGGTCAAGCCAAAATGTTTTTGTGCGCAGGTTTTCTATTATATCAGTTTTTATTTTATTTTATTTTTAATCAAGCTCAACATTTCAGCCTGAATAACCAGCTTGAATAAAATAACCAGGAGCTGATGCAGGAGTAGGCTCAGTCTCCAGGCTTGCGTGTCTCGGATGGGAGCATGGGGCGGAGAGAGCGCGCGCTTTCTGATTCCAAAATTCTATGTATTTATGTCACAAAGGAGGATTTGATTCGCCTGTAATCCCAGATGATTTCAGGATTTTTTGTCCACATTCATGGGCAAAATTAATTAAATTTGGCTGAGAACGAGAGAACGATGGCGTTTGCTACACTCAAGGTGAGTCAACTAAAAGTTTGACAAACCATTTCGGGTAACATCAATTAAAAGAAGAGCGTTAGGAAGAGAAGAAAAAAATTTTACACTACTTCACTGGTTTTCACCAGCGACGTAGTCGGAGTCGGAATCGTTAGCTAGAGCACCTATGACCTAGTGAAAATCAGAAATCGGATCGGATTCATAAGTGCGACGGAATCGGAGTCGGAAGCCATCAGAACGTTTCCATTTGGCTTCCGGCTTCTGTCGCTTACGATCAAGTGAAAACCAAATTGTCGCAGTCGGAAGGAGAAGAGGACGGATAAACCAGTCACAATGCTCGTTCTACCTCTCTTCTACTTCTACAGGCCTGATACTCTTAAACGCTTTCGCATAGAAAAAAAATTAAAAATTAAAATAATAATAATAATAATAATGATGATAATGATAATGATAATGATAATGATAATGATAATAATAATAATATAATAATAATTGTTAATTTTCCGCCCTAATGGTAGAGGGGATTAAATTCCAATCCTTGATGGTCCTTGGAAAGAAACTATAGAGGTAATAGTCATTGCGAGCGCAGGGTCTGATATACTTCGACAGGCTTCTTGTTACACGCAGCGATTGTCGTTAATAATGAGGAAATGGTAAGGTGATTATGTTGTTGTAAGCTTGGTAGAATGTGCGAAGACGATGGATTTTCCTTCCCACCTTTTACGATTGATTTAGTTCTTCAACCTTTGCTTGCGACTCCGACAACCTGGTTTTAATCGTAAGCAACGGAGTCGTAAGCAGAATCGGAGGGCTTTTTTCACTTGACCATAACGCTTTACGCCTGTGATTACGACACCGACTGATCGTCAAGCGTGCACAATGTGAAAACGAAACCGGGGGTTGTTGATCGTTAGCGCAAATAACCCGCTCACTAAATTCTTTCGACAGCCCATCTGCTGAAGATGGGCTGTCCTGCCCTTTGCAGGTCAAACATTTAGATTTAGATTTAGACAGCTGTCCAAGCAAACTGTAAACTAAAGGCTGGGACCGGTGAGGAGCTACATGTGGTGCTAGAGCAGATCATTTTCGTTTCTCTGAGGTCTTTTTATAATTTGTCCAGTACCCTAGCTTCGAAAAGCGAATCACCTTCATTTCCCCTGTACTTTTACGCGGGATTTGGGGCCATTATTCCCCAAAGAATCAGTTGTCGTAGCTCTTTGCTATTTTTTACTAACGATTGCAATTTTAGCCCTTCCACTGTCGAGTAATTTTTTCGTGCAATGCATGAAAAACAAAACAATTTAAACGTAAAAGTTGAACCTCGCTCAACTTCACGTTTCATATCTTGCCTCTATTTTTTTCGAAGGGATTAAAATTTATACGTTTGTGTACACTTACGTGAAATTTACGCGACAGTGGAAATCCTCCCTTAGATTTGTAACTGCCCGCAAAACTACATACCCGAGCTAAGTTATGGAGGCATACTCTCCATTTCAAGTAGATCACATATGCAATGTTTCTGGTGCTCAAGCAACTATCACAAACATTTACATTGTAAAACGTTTTTTGGCCTGTGTTTCTATTTTATCAAATTGGTCTGGATTCTATAAAGTAATAGAGGTTTTTGTGTTATCCGGAATAATCAAGATCGAGGTGTGCGGGTGTTACCAGCCCAGTCGAAGGCCGAGATATTTCGGATATCACAAAACCGAATCTAATAATTGTTTTACTGATACACTGTTTAGACGAAAATAAATACAAACACACCGTCGCAAGGAACCGAATTGACATTGTTTTGGAAATCACGCATTGCGTGCATAACCTAAAGATTGGTAGTCAGTTATCTGCTAGCAGATAACAAGCTAATCTGTAGGTTGCGCTGATTTCCAAAATTAACTGTAGGTTCTTAGCCAATGAGAAGACAGATAATAATAGATGTTATCAAGCGTTCACTTAGACGTAACAAATGAGATCCACTCGATGGCTTTATTTACATCACATGTACATTCCATTTCTCATTTCAGTAAAATCCTGAAGCGAACACTTGTCATTGTTGTTGCGTCATTGAACTTTTTTTAGGTGTCTAAGTGAAAAAGAACTATCATAACCAGCGAACTGTCCATCAAGGTCAATAGTTCAATGGTGTGCATTCCTGAACACGGTGGATAAGAGTAATTTGTTGATGAAATTGTACAATAAAAACTATATTTATATATTTGTGGCATTGCTTAGCTTATGGACAAGGGTCCGAATCATTTTCGGCATCATTAGAGGGTCCCGCCGAGGCACGGGATGAGGACGAATCTGGACGAGACTTCGCCGAACCTATGCGAGAAGAACGGGACTTGGCCGAACCAGCCCTCGATGATTGCTCGGACTTCGGGCTTGATTTGCGAGATCTTGGTTTTGGGCTTCCACTTTCGGATTTCTGCGACCTACTCGACTCAGGTCGCGAAGAAGATTGCTTTATCCCAGACGACGGTCGTGACGAGATTCTCTTTTCCGAAGGTGGTCGGGATGAAACTTGTTGAGCCGAGGACGGCTTTTCGGTTTCCTGTTGCACACCCGGTTGTTTTTCGGGTTGTTTCTCTTCCTTTGAGGGTTCTACTTTGGGTTGTTGTTCCATGACGGTCTCTGTTTTCCCATAAATAATCCTGTGAGCCGCTACAAGATGTTTCCTTTGGCTTCGTTTTACTGTCATTGAAAAAAAGCAGTATTTCTGATTAACAAATTTGACAAAAAATGGTTCTCGTCATTGCTGACGAAACTTCAGTACAGTTCAGTACATTGGGAGGGTGGGGAGACGGGCGAGAAGGGAAAAAAACAGCATTTGGTGGAAGTGTCCCTGCGTTTTTGTCTGCTACTGTCGTTGCGTTAGGCTACGAGTTTCTCTTTACTGCCCTTTAAACCAATGGAGGATTTCTACAGTCGCATAATTTTCACGTACGAACGAACGTAAATTTATGGCCCCTAACAAAATTGAAGCACTGTATTAAAAGTCGTGGAAGTTAACAACTTTTACGTCTACATTGCCTCTATTTTATTTGCGAGCGTAAATTTCACGTGCGTGCGCAAGTTAAAATGTGAGGAAATCCACCTTAAAACTTGAACTCTCCTCAACTTTAACGTTTTGGCCTTTCACACAATATCTGTATTTTATTTACGCACGCAAGTTTTTCGCGCGTACGCACGTTAAAATATACGGCGGATTTCCACCCTTATACGCAATCTACGCATTAATTCTTACCGTTTTCTCTCATAGTAATCTTTTGAACTTCAGGTAACAGGAATGAACTGACAAGCTCGGCGACGATTTCTTCGGACTGCAGTTTGGTTCGCCTACAAAGGGAAAATGAAAGCCATTAAAAGCAGGTTAATTTTCGTATTTTTCTGAATGTCTTTTAACTGAACTCTGCATGCCGTCTTCTTATACTTTTTTTTCTGTTTTCAAGGTCATCCTTTAGACGTTTTACATCATTAAAGGTCTCTAATGCAGATTGGAAAGACTGGTTCAGATGTTCTTTTTATCGTAACACAATGGTTGTGACTCAAACTTTCCAAAATAATTCTCACGTTTTCTCCATATCGTAAGCGATCTGGTTAATCTTTTCTGCCTGCTCTTGGATTTCTTTACGGGCCTGTTGAAGAAAAAACAAAGGTTAAAAAATTTAACAATTGCCGTTTTTGTTCAAGGAGGTGGTCTTTGAGCGTTAGCATTTATTAAAAACCATTGTGAAGTATTGTCAGGGTCAAGTTTGAAGAAGGTATCCTTATACTATACTAGCTGGTGCTGCTTTACTTGCTTGCCAAGAAAGTAAATCCCACCTGTTGCTCTGCAGTCTGCTCGATGGCTCCCATGATGATATCTTCAAGGTAAGTATCAACTGTGGACTGGTGAACCTTAACAACCTAACAAAATCATCAATCACAAAAGTTACACCACGCGTAGTTTTCAATGAGCCATAGAAAGGTACTACTACTTTACATATCATCCTCCTTTCGACCTTTCGAAGAATATTTAATCGTGTAGATTGTTTTGAGGAAATTAAGACTGTTTAAACGTCAGTTCTTGGTACAAAGGAAATGATAAATTTATAGGTAGCAAATTACTATATAAAAGATGTCTACGTATAATTGTCAACACAATGAAAAACGTTTTCCTTATTTATATTCCATTTTTATTATACCTCGCTACGAATTCAATTATTAGGATTCTGTTACCTAAGAGGGAGTCTGTTTTACTACGACTCTTGTGAGTTCTGCTACCCTGGCTTTGGCCTACGGCCGAAGATGTGTCGGCCTTCGGCCAACATCGAAAATTCCCGCCGCACGCGAGAAAAACCTCTGGTACCGAGGGTAAAGGGGTTCTGCGTACGGCAATTTATAATGACATTTTAAATTTAAAACGCCGCGATAACATAAAATCGTTGAAAACAAGGACTATAAATAAAGTTAAAACATGTTGAATTTATAGTTCAGCAAACTTTGAACCATAATTTTGGAATGATAACAAAAAGAATTTGCTAGAACCCAAAATGTTTATACAATCAAAAAAACGTGAAAACTAGTTCCCATGGCCGAATGATTCAAAAGCAGTCGCAAAAAGCATTAGTGAAACTGATATCGAATCTGATTAAAACCAAAATAATAGCTGGACATTAATTTTTCCATCTTATTTTCATAATCTTTATAATTCCGATTGTGTCCAAACGGGGTTCGGTAAAAATTCCCGACTATGAATTGAATGAGCGTCTCGGAAATGAAAAAAGAAAAGCAAAATAGTAACCATAACTTTGAAACATTCCTTGTTAAGAATATTCACTTTTAGGCTATTAATCTGAATCCAGTTCAAAATAGAAGAGTGGCTAACGAGCATTCAAAACTGGTGAGATTTGTCAAATCATAAAAACGGAGCTTAAAATTATTGTTTTTCTAGAGAAGTCTGCATGGCATAAACACGCAAGAGTAGTGTCCCGGTCAAAACAGAAAAACAGCGTGCCTTCAACCGAAGTGGAAAATTGAACGCCCTAGTTTCACAAGTATAGCTCCCGTTTATTCCTTAGTTACCCTAACGCAAGAGTTCACCTGTTTAAAGACTTCATCTTCTTCGCGTCTTCTTCTTTCCTCTAATTGCCTTCGTCCACTTTCTTCTGCTTCTCGGATTCGTCTCTTCCGCTCGGCCAACATGGCGAATGCGTGGATGCGTCTTTCTTCCTAAAATGTGGTCAACCATAACACTTAATTTTTCTTTTCCAATTAAAGAAGAATCCCCTTATGGCGAACTAAAACTGCGGCTACGTTTTGAGGTTTAATTTCATCCTTGGTTTAGATTATGCTTTTCTTTGCTTCAAACTCATTATCATACATTACTATAACCCAAAACAAAGGAAATAACATTTAAGACAAGGGTAAAATTGATCCATAAAAACTATACATCTAAAAGCATTGACCACAGAACCGTGTGAGGTCTACAATAGTACAATACACGGGCATAATAGGCACTTAGGTAATGTAAATGTTGCAAAGAATTTGATAACATGTGGGTAAGGTAGATGATTTTCATTCGTCCACAAACGTGAGCAGCAAAGCTGTGAAAGAATGGAGCGCTTTTGAGAATGGGTGATTATCCCCACGCAAAAAGGCAAGTTAATAATGAATTATTGCAAAGCATCAAGGAAATTTCGTATTTAGAATGCCAAGTTTAGGAAGATAGCTTACAATTGAGGTTGAAAGCTACTTTTAAATGAATTAAAAACAATCATAACGTGTCTTTGAGATTCAGAATGGTTTATTACTGGGAAAATTAACAGAAATAAATGGTTGAATTAATGCGTATTATTGAAAAGTGAAAAAGAAATTACAAATTACAAATTTTTGCGAGTCAGGCCCCATTTATATGGAGAAAAGTTATCCCGGAAAAAGAGCCGGTCACCCTCCCAGCCGAGTCACCTCTAACAATCGTTTACAAGAGAGAAAAGTTGACCCCTTCAGGGTTTTCGGTAGCATTTAAAAGTACCGGGAGAAGTGGTTCAGCTGGTGGACGTGCACCTGCGCGAACGTTGAGTGCTGGAGGCACGAACTTCTAAGGGGTCCGGGGACATGCCCCCCGGAAAATTGGTAAAATTGGACTCTCTAAAATGCAATTTCTTGCGTTCCCTGGACCGAAACTGGGTAACCGGAATTATGACAGGAATTTCTCTCTTTTTTTTCGATTGTGTGCATTACATAAATAAGTGAGTAAAATAAGGGTCGAGTCTTTCTTTGGTTAATAAACGGAAAAAAAAACGATTTTCACACTTAAAAAATAATTATTTCGTATGTGAACTACCGGACGTTACTTGTCAAACAACCGGACGTTGCGTCCGGCGTCCGGCCTGAAACGAAACCCCTGCCCCTTTGAACAAGCCAACAGCCCTAGCGCATGCTTTAATTGTCTCTCGCCTTGACCGTGCGAACGAAAGAGTTAATAGAAAGCTTTAGATTTGAGGACGAGAGCGAGTACGAGATTTAACTTCAAGTTTTTGCGCGTGTTCTCAAACGAAAAGACTCCCCGGAAAGCTTCATTTAACGTTTTTTCACCGAAAAAGTTAGTACAGTTATTTACACTGAAGGAGATTAAGCCCTCTCCCGATAGCAAAATGATAAAACTTTTGACGCTGGCACACGCGCGTGCACTACTTAGTACTGAGAAAATCTCGTACGAACAGTCGTCCTTGTCCTCGAATCTAAAGCTCTCTAATAATATGGAGAAAAATAGGCCCGAAAAGGAGGGTGTCCCGGCTAAGCGGGTCACGCTTACTTTTTGTTAATCATAGGAAACGTTGGCTCGCCTAGGGTAGCTGGGGTAGGCGAGTCACCCTACTACCCGGGATAAGTTTTCTCCATATAAAAAAGCTGTGTTCAGGAAAAAAGGTCGGTGGTTGCAAATAATTTTGGAAGCTGGGACATTACTGGGAAATGTATCATGAAAGAACAATGCTGCGCTCAGGGAAATTATGGAAAAGTGGTCTTATAGTTAAAGATTGGCGTTGATTATTTTCTGTTATTACTCGTGTTTCTTACCTGAAGTCGGATGAGCTCCTTACTCAAAAAGTCAAACATATCAGCTAGAGTGGAGCCCTCCATTTGAGCTAGTGCTTCTTCAACAAACGACTCCTGCAAAAAAAAAAGAACGAAAAAAAAAATTAAACAACACAAAACAAACAGCTTGCTTCGAAAGTCATTAAGCAAACTGAAACTTGCAGTCTTGTTTGGGAACTTGGCAAACAATTTCTCAATAGCTGGCACTTTATACACATATACGGCAAACGGCTACATCAGATTCAGGTTGAAAATTTCTCAAATTAGGAAAGCAACCGATAAAAACAGTTTGTGTCTAAAATAATTCTTATGGATGACACTAGCATGAACAAACATTTTTGAGCAGATAAAATGAAGAGCAAAGCAGAGCTACAGAGGGAAACTTGATTTTGCGATCACCTTGTCATACATGTCGACTTTTGCCGTTTGGCATAAAGGTGATTCTAAATCTCTCTAATCTCAATATAAGAGCTCGGAGGCATGTTACATGTAACATCATACTAAACACAAGAACTTTCGTTTCCTTCCTTCCTTACACAATTTACAGTAAATCCCTAACGTACTAATATCCCCTAACTCAAGCATCTGAAAACACCACAACGGATAAGCAAGGTAAATTTCAACCAGGGTGCCCAAGCCTCGTCATAAGAAACGCTTTGCGCCTATTGTGGACCATCCTCGGGGCAAAATATTTACGCGCGAGATCGTTGCGTCGCCGCTAACTAATATCTCGACTCGATTAGGTGTTCTTTGAGAATGGTTGTACGTAAAAGGTACCTTATTAGTGTCCAGTCTCCTTTGTCGCTGTAGACTTAACACGGACTGTCGCTCATTTCTCTTTTCCATTTGCCCAGCTTGTTGAAGAGCATGCGTACTTCGTAACTCTTGAATCAGTTCTAATCGCTTCTCTTTTCCTTCGAACATCTGAAAAGGAAGACACAGGGAAAGATTTCGTTGCTTAGAAATCGTAAAAAGGCAGGAAAAGGTAAACTTTGACGAATTAGCTACACGAGTCTCCCGTCCACGAAGACAACAAAGTCTACAAGACAAATGACATTATTTGGATCGTCCAGCCAAATCCCTTTGTCTGAGAAAATCCACAGGACAAAAGTTCACATATCGAGGGAAAATACATATAATGCAAAACACTGAGAAAAAAATAATTATAAACTGAGGGGGAAGAAAAAGACGAAATAACGGTAGCTTGGAGTCGTATGGAAAAAAAAACTCACCATATTCTGAATTGCCCGGCCACGGAGAACTTTCTGCAAGAATATTAAGGCAAGCTCCTCTTCCTCTTCAAACTGAAACACAAACCAAACATTTTATCAGGGATTATTCGGTACATGTTATTGATTAAAAAACGCAGGAGAAAATTTTCTGCAAATAAGACTGATGAGTGTAAGAGAAACGACGAATTACACTTGCGTATGATTCAGTTGTAGATTACGGTCTGACTACTTTTACCTTACAAAGTAATACGTCATGGTTGCCGACAAACATGAGACAAGGAAGCACAGAGACAAACTTTGCGCTGAAAATATTTATGAGTTTTTATCGCTCTTACTGTTACCTGCTCTTTCCTAACTCTTAAGAAACGAACAACTACAGTGGAACTTCGATTTAACGAACCTCTATATAACGAAGTCCTAGATATAACGAACATTTTGGTTGTTTTTTTTCAAAAATTCGTTTAATCGAGGTGTCCCTTGGCACTTAGTTAAATCGAGGTTCCACTGTATGCCAGTATTGTATTATTTGCCAAAAAGAGTAAGTTTTTTTTTCTCACGAAGAATAATTTGCATCGTTTAGAACTTACGAAGTGGTTGGCTAAGAAGGAGTTCCAGCAGAGGTTGAATGTAAGCTAATCGTCACTTGAGACCTAAGTGCTGCGAGTGTCGAGTCGAGCCATACGAGACTGAATTAAAAACTTCAGATGAAAAAAATTAAAAGGCTGATCTGGCCGATTTGTTGCCCTACCTGGGATGGAATCTCTACAGAAGGAGTAGGCGGACGTGGAATCGGCTTCTCTACCTTCACCAAGAACTTGAGCGGTTTCTCAGGCTCTGGTGGTCTCTTAGCCAACTCAATCGCATTAGCCACCTCTTCTAACTCACGCTGTCGCCGCTGCTTTCTCTTCACAAATCCTCCTTTTCCACTTGATTTTGGTTTTGGAGCTTGAATTCTGGGCTGAGTCACAAAATCTGGTAATGAGGCCTCCAGTTCTAACAGACCCTGATAGGTATTTAAGTGGTAACTTTTGACATTAAACTGTTCAGAGCCGCGGTCCAGAAACACGCCAACACGCGATATGGGAGCATAGGTCTGGGAGTCATAGTTGGAATAGTCTTGTACTATTTGCCGTCGCTCTAGTTTGCCTTCCACTGTTCGCCGTTTTTCATTTAGTTTTCTGACAGCTGGAAAAGAAACATACCGCAACAATTATTGCCATGTTCAATTGTACTAGTACAGTACAGTGCAGTACAGTACAGTTAAAATCCTCCAGACAGTAAACCTGCTACCACAGAGTTGCACTTGCGACTACACGGTCGCCCAGTGCAGCGAAACCACTGTTATCTTGTGTAAAACTCTTTGCCTACTCAATGGCGACAATCGATAATTTAGCGATATTTATCCAAGGGTCTCGTTTCGAATAGACGCCTAGACTTCGCAAACAGCATCTTCTTTGTCAGCGTAGTGTTTGGACAACGGCAAACATGATCAACATATTTTAAACATTGGCTCCTAATCATATTTCTAAGACTGTTGTTTTTTGTTATGTGTAGAATGTCTGTGTTGAGATCGGCGAGCAACAAAAGGTCCAATCTGTAATCTAACTACATATACATATTGTACTTCTAACATCTTTATTTTCACTGTAAGTTTTTAATATATGACACGGTGCAGTTTCCTGGGTTTACTACATAAACCATAGCCACAGCTGCACACTATCCAGCAATTAGTAAAATCCAACTAGTGGTCTTTTATCAATACCGCGTTCTAATTGGTTGAGCTACTACTAGGCTATATGTTATAGCCCACTAGTAGCGAAAAGCACCGGCTTTGAAAACCAAAACAATGGTGGCTGAATCGCGCTTTTGCTTGCTAAAGTTGTTTTGTCTCGATATTTTTGACCAACTAGTTGGATTTTACTAAGACAATAATTATTATTCCTCTCGCCCTCATGGCTTCTGAGTCAATAGTCCATTCGGCCTTCAGCCGTGTTATGGGCCATTGACTCAAGAGCCCATTCGGGCTGTTTATTAGATGTACATGTTTAGTTATAAAGAGCCCTCAAGAATTTGTCCTTAACAACGTATATGTAGTTTATCAAACCTCAAGTTGTCATAAGCAAATAGTTATCATAGATAAGATCGTTGTGAGGTTAAGAGGCACTGTAATTCTGGGCAGTCAGCACTCACTTTTAATATGTTCTGTTTGAATTCTTTGAAATTTTTTCTCTTTTTCTTGTTGTTTGTTTGACCTGAAAAAAGATAAGACAGACAAAAAAATAATTTGACGAATACTTACCATATCCTGTGGACTTAAAAGCCATGTACCATGCACAAATTTTGTTTAAGTGCTATGATTAGCGATCCCACTTTCCCGGATCATTATTCACTGGTTAACAATCATATTAAGGTAAACATTTTTATTCGGTAATCAGTTGCAATTGTTTAGCTAACAGTATTAAGTTTGCTATTGTCCTTGCTCATCCTGCCAACATCTTGTGTCGCATTTAAAGGGGATGACACGGAGCAAAGAAAAGCAGTCATAGGAAAATATTACGGATCTGTTTCAGTTGATTGGTTCAACGCATAGCTATGCTTCCTAAGTTCGACGTCTGACTCAACAGAGGATCCTGGGTCGACCCAAATTAGACAGTGATTAGAGTTTTATGAAAAGTTAATCTCGAGGTTTGTGCTACGCCTTAGAGAATATCAAGGAAAACATAGTTACATTCAAGACTTAAGCAAACTATAAGTTGTGTTTCATAAACTGACCATAATCTATCAAGTCTCTTGGTATTCAGTTCTGCATGGTCCTCTTCTCTCTGTTCAAGAATTCTCTTCAACACTTCAAGTCTTGCCTCTTGTAATCTTAGAAAAAGAAAGAGAACAACTAATTTGAGGGGGGAAACGCATACTTCAGTTAAACCAACAATAAGATACTCAGTAGAAACAAATCCTGTAACTAATTGCAGGAAGATACATGTATGAAAGAGTTGAAGGCAATATTTAAGGCAGATCTTTTAAACACTAGCAAAACAAAGAATGTGACACTGTAGCAACTTTGATTTTGAGATGTTTACAGTACAACAACACTTGAATGGACAGTTTTTGTGATTTCATAATATACTTCTTAACTAAATTTTAATAATTGTCAATTTATAAATAACTGATTTATTCAGACGTAAGATTCTTGTACCACAGCTAGCCCATCGCATAGGCTAATGGATATATCTGTTTAAAAATCCGATTATTATATCATAATCATTTTTGACAGTTGCGGATAATGACAATTTTGCAAGATCCTCACTTTTCAATCTCTTGTTCTCTGAAAGCCCATTCTCTTACATAGGCTAATGGATATATCTGTTTAAAAATCCGATTATTATATCATAATCATTTTTGACAGTTGCGGATAATGACAATTTTGCAAGATCCTCACTTTTCAATCTCTTGTTCTCTGAAAGCCCATTCTCTTCTCTCTTGTTCATCCATCATCTTCTTCCTTTTTTCAAGATTTTCTGTATCATTTAGAGCTGGAAGAGTTGCCTCCCTAAAAGAGAACAAGTATCAAGCAAAGATGTTGTAAATTTACTGCCTTCAAAATTTCAGGGGTACGTATCTGTTCCCTTCCTATCAGCCAATCACATGGTAAATAAATGCTGCTTCAAACAGCATATAGGCATGCTGCAATGTCAGGAAAGCATGTGCTGCACTACATTACTGTTTACATGGCTTTTGTTACAAAGGGCCTGATGGACAGGGATTTCCCCTGACTATAATAACCTGTATACAGTGTACCTAGGCTGTTTTCAGTTAGTAGACAGAAACATGTTAACAGCACATAGAAAAAGGGGAAAGTCTTTCAAACAACTTACCAAGCTCGTTTAGCTCTGGCTCTCTCAATCATCTCAACTTCTGCTAATCCTGCTGGCAAACCATGACCTACAGGAAAGAATCTACATGTACACATCACATTGTTTTTCACCTAAGAATACATAGCTTGCATTTGCAATGCTGAAAAGGTATATTGCAAAGACTGTTAGAAATCTTTTGAGGAGCCCACCAGGCCAAACAATACAAAGTAAGGAGATTATACTGTGAATTGTTAGATATTCTACAGCCAAATGTTATGAATGTAATCTACTGAAAAGATTAATTTCCTGCTCTGAAAAAGTAATATAAAATCAGGATAAAATGTCTGACACAGAGCAAAGAGTTTTATGCCAAAAGATTTTCACACTATCTCAAAGTCCCAATCATCTGATCTACAAGTAGATTATCAGTCAGGTGCTCATCCCTTCAATGGCTGTTCTGGACCTACCACTTGAATGTATACACTGCTTTCCAAAAATTAAGGATGTGTGATGAAGGATCACCTGACTGATATGCTAGACCACAAACCTGAGGAAAACAGGATCTGCAAGTCTTCATACTCCAAATTTTTTTTTTTTTTTTGAAGTGAACCACTGTAACCCGAGACCCTGATAAGTCTTGATTAATTTCTGAGAGGACTGCATTAAAATTGTTGAGACCATGAATTTACACTGTGCTTACACCTGTGAGTCAAAAAATAAGTGAGCTATCTAATAACAACCTAAAGAACATACATTCTGTAGTAAGACACTTTGCAGTACATATATAAATATGTACTGTGTACAATGATCACAGGATGTAGTATATATTATTACCATAGGAAAGGGTTGCCAGTGTGAGCAGTTCAGGTTGTGAGCCTGGTCGTACCACATACTCTGGTGTGTAAGGGTCTGTTTGTGTTTCACTATCCCTGTAGTCTGTTTGCACCTCTACTGTACGTGTAGCTGGGGTTGGAGGCCTCTCTGCTTCCAATTCAGGACCAGCAAGTGGGTCTAACCTAAAAGACGGTGCAGTAAATATATAAGTTATTATTTAAATAAAATTAATGTATTGATCATCACTATCTAAATAAAGAAATATGGTTTCTTAAGTAAGAAAGACAGAACACACACAAAAAACGTAGACTTCTGCTCCGAGTCAATTTAAGCAAACTTATAGTGGAGCTCTCTCTGAGGAAAAAAATCCCGTGGAAGCTATGCTTTTTGCACCAGGCAAATGTGAATGTCATAACCGGCTATACTGTAGTACCTAAAAGACGACTTTAAGTATACTAGAAGTATACTACATTTACCAAGAGTATACTTTAAGTTTACCTCAGTTACTGTAGAACACTGTATAGTTGTAGTGGCCATATTTTGAAGTATACTTGAAGTATAACTGCTTATTTTCTTTCCAGGTGAAGTAGAGTTTAAGTATACTTAAAAAGAACTTCACAAGTGGCATTTTATCCTGGTTGCAGGATGAAGTAGGAATTAAGTACTTTGAAAATATACTTCTGCGAAGACAAATTCTATTTTAATTAGAAATACACCAAAAACTTCATAGGATTCTCTCTTTCAGGGCAAAACGGATGTGAAGATACTAAGAAAAATACGAATACATTTTGGTTTAACTGTGACATTAAAACAGATGCAGACAATTATTCATTTTTGTAAGCATGTTCAGACTCTTATATTGGGGTGATACGTAGTACATTCTTCCAAAGCAAGAAGAAAACTAGTGTTGTAGCCAGGCTAACAAGTGATTGACTGGCTAAAATAATAGTCACTAAGATGTGAATTTAATATCAGTATGTGTTATGCAGTGGTATTGCCTTGCTTTGCATTGTACATGTAGTATAAGCAGCATTTGTTAATAGAATTCTTGTGTTGTTGGAGAGGAATAATTCATCTCCAGCAACACAATTAATGCATGGATCAGTATCATTGACTTAACTTTGCTGTGTTAAGTATCAAAATGTTCTAAATTTCAATAGACAGCATGCAATAACCTCTACAATGTAGTTTGAACAAAAGTGTTGAACAAAGTAGTATGTATCTTACCTGGATGACTGAAGAAAGACATCTGGAGGAACTTGCTGCAAGAATGGGATGATTGGTCTGCGAAAATACTTGTATCTGTCTTGGCCAGAAACAGGAACATGAGGATAATCCTTGGGAGGAACTTGAACTGTTGGATCATAATTAAATCTACACAGGGAGAAAAGGTGCAGTTTAAATGAAAATTACAGTAAAAACATTCAATAAAAGTCTCACAACTCTAAAAAATCCCTACACTTGGATTTATCCCCTAAAACAATAATTACAGTAATATTATACAGTCATACATGTATGTATAATTTTCTGTAGTTTTAAACAATAAACCAAATTTACGTGGTGTATCTGATGAGAGCTTCTCTGTTTTGTTCGGCATATCCCCTCCACTGACGAGGAATAAATTTGGGAACTGGCAGACAATGAAGGTTCACTTATGACATAGAACCTATCACCGCGTTTAGCGATTTGTACCAGAACTTCACACCATGGGCAAAGACACCTTTATTGTGGGTTTTTTCTTTTTGTAGTTTTGTATGTCCACACACCAATGTAAAAAAAAACCACACACATAAAGTTTTTCTTCCAAAAAAGAAAATAATATTGTGAGCTACCTGCATGCAAGGTATCCAGGTTGTGCAAAATAATTTATCTTCCATATTATTAAATTCTCACAATCTCTTTGGCAGAACTTTTGGATTGTTGTATTTATTTCTTGTGATTTTTCAAACAAGAAAGTTGATTGTTTTGCATATTTTTTTCATGCTGTTATTACATTGTAGGAGTGGAGGTTGAAAAGCCATGGCTTTAGGAGTCAGGAGTCGTCGCCTATTAAAATAACAGTGGACATCAAACTTATGAGTGGTTTACATGTACAGTCCTCCGCACTTTTTGATAAGTACATGTACTTACAATTCTGTCAGTTCCTGTATGGGCCTTGAATGTGGATCTGGCATGATCCCGGTCACTTGACAATGAAAACAGAGGATCTAAAAGAAACAGGAGTTTTCTTTGTCATTGGATTGAGTGAACCACCAATTAATATAAATGATTCTAACCTCAAGTAACCTCAAGGTCGGTAGAAATTTGCCATAATGATAAAAAAAGGACACCATAGCCATTCTGTTCTATTTTGTAGAAAATTGGATTCTTTAACTTTTGATTCCAAACACTTGGTTCAAGGAGTTTACTATTTATAACTTTCCACTTCTAATTAAGAATAAACATTAATATTAACGTAAAATGTAGCAAATTGGTTTGGGTATTTGCAGAAAGTTTTATCCATGGAATATTCGATACTTTTGCAGTAAACTGTGAACAACTATAGCTTAGCCAGGGTAACTGATTTCCTAAAAAAGTCTGAGAATTTCTCACCGTAAAGGTAGTCATGAGTCCTAGATGGCTGCAATTTTCCGTGTGTTACTGTTTGCGTCGAAGACATGGTGATCCCACCACGAAAATTTGCTACATTCAGGGAGAAAAATTTCTTGAAATTCTATCAAAACAAGATGGCCGGCGCGAAGGTTACTTTGTAAGTTGCCATAGTGATGAAACAGTTTACGCACTACTAGAGCCCATGCCCGCGCGATGATCGAATAGTTGTCATATCAACATAGTGCAGTTCAAGATCGTTCGACGTATCGACTGAAAACTAACAATTCAAATACCGTATCTGTTGTTGCAGACATGACTTACGCTTCTCAGAATGTGATGCCTTTTGTAAGTGAACTTAGAGCGACGGGACATGGAGAAGTTTGGGATCACACAGATGAAAAAAAGTTACAACAGTTTGGTTGGAGATGCACAAATACAGAGAGCTCGTATAACACAAGCACTCTAATAGGAAACTGGAATGAACAACGATTTGATATAAACAGGATTTCAAAACCAAAACCTATTCCTTCACAGGTAAGATACATGTTATAGATGTAGACACGTTAACATATTTGTATGGACCATAAAATAATGTACAGAATCAGCTTAATTTATTCTGGCGGCACAATGAAAAGACCTCTCACAAGAATTTTTTATTTAATTTTCCAGTATAATCATTACTTTGAGACAACTTACGGTTCTGGATACAATACAGTCGACACCAATAAAGTACCGGAATCCTTGAAGCATCTTGAAGGTAAGTAAAAGTTTTTGTTTATGTTATGCCTCAATACAATTCTATTGCGTGACAAAATAATAGTGGATTGTGTTACAAATACCGCGACCCGCGCTTTGTCCTTTTGTTGTCTAGTGGGCTGATGATGGCTTTAAATCAAACCGAAATACTTTCACTTACCCGCCAACCTTTACCTACCATTTGGGATTTTTTTTTTCAAATGACATAAAAATAAAACACGCAAAGCCTTCTTATCTTTGTTCTGAGGTAACCAACCAGTGTATTTGAATCCGCAACAACATAAGCAACTGAGAAATGGCAGTGCTGCTGGATGAAGTATCACCTGACTAACAAACCTGAGGCTGGCTATGCGCTCATTTAACCCCCTTTCTGTTAGCGCTTCCTTTTACTGGTATTTAAATCTACTAGAAGCTCCATGGAAAGGAAAGAAGTTGTAATAAGGATTTTTGGTTACACCTCAGGACGGAACTTGGGGCCTCCCACATGGAAGGCTATGCACTAACCAACTGTGCTTATCCTTCCTAATCATGTGTTGCACTTATTTCATTGTCACATTCAAAACAAATTCTTGATCAACTGGTTCAAATTTAATTCAAATTCATGATCAAATGAATATTTAAAAAAAATTATTTAATTGTTTTTGCATTTTAGCAAGGGAGCCAACTGCATTTCCAGGTCATCAACCTGAGCTTGACCCTCCACAGCTCAAGAGACAATATAATTCATTGTTAACTACATCCAGAGCTGCCTTTGGTGATCCTAAACCGACACAAAAATAAATTAAAGACAGGACATGATATGGATTTTTAATGAATTTTTGTACGATTCCATCAATTGAACAAGGGTTTTATTACAAACGTATACAAGAAAATGTTTTTCACCATCAGAGCTAATGTTTAATATCTTATAATGAATCTGAGTTAAAGTTTTCACCCTTAAATATGTCCATATCTTGCAAATATTTGTACAATTTTCAATTGTTTTAAAAATAATTTTTTGCAACATGTAAAAATGTAGCTGCTGGTTCTATTAAAATATACAACCTCATTTTTTACATTAAGATACGGTAAACACAAAAGTGAGAAAATTACAATTTCAATAAAGGGCAAATGAAAACTATACCCAAGCGTTTTTTAATGGTTTTGTTTAGAAATGTTAATATCAACATTGTCTTCTTGCCTGCACTAATAAGGGCACAAGTATTCATGAAAAATACCAGACAGAAAAATGCAGTGTTTGTGTTTTTCTGAACTCTAAACAGTCACTCAGTTTCATGTCATATGCTTATAGGCGTAATTCTTTCAAGGTGTAGTCTTTTTGCCTAATCCTGCCTTTGCTCTCATGAATAATTGCAATCCTCTTGATAAAGGGGTTGATTCTTGTTCTTGTTCTTTTAGTTTAATCTCTGCCATATCTGCCAGGACATTGGCAACTTGAAATTGAATCTGTTGGCATCTGAAATATTGCAAGCGCCTTAATATTAAATCACAGTATATGCAATCTTCCCTGCAATCTGGAGTGGATATGTTGTGGTTCAATTAAGTTTTCTTTTCTTTTGTTTCAAACTCATTATCATAAATTACCATACCCAAAAACATAAGAAAAGAAAATTTAAACTACGGATAAAATTGAACCACAACAGATATTTCTTTACTACTGACGTCATGACACTGTAGTGGCAAACAACTTGTACAGAAGTCATTTCCCCTCTTTAAAATTTTGATTTCTAGAAAAGTGTCAACTTGCTTGGGCAGTTCTTGCAACTAAAGGTACATTGGTCATCTTCATAGCAAGTTACAATATTTATACTGTCGTATTTTACTTATTTTGCATGCTTTCTTGAGACTCTTGTCAGTGGTTCTAATGGTATTATTATTCATGTTTTAGTACCATTTTAGTTTTTTAAATGCCTTGCTATTGAATGTGCTTGACAGAGCAGATCTTCCAGTTTCATGTGAAAAAGTGCTCCACAATGCAGGGCTAGCTGTTGCTAAAATTTGAAGTTGCCGGGTATTCAACAATTATTCCTCGAGCCTGAATGGGCTCTGAGTAAATAGCCCATGAGGCCGAAGGCCAAATGGGCCACTGACTCAGAGGCCATGAGGGCGAGAGGAATAATAATATTGTTTTAGTAAAATCCAACTAGTTGGTCAAAATTAATATATCGAGACAAAACAACTTTAGCTGTAGTTAAAGATAGACTTGAAGCTCTTGTTTTGGTTTTCAAAGCCTGCGGTTTTCGCTACTAGTGGGCTATAACATATAGCCTAGTAGTAGCTCAACCAATCAGAATGCAGCATTGATAATAGACAACTAGTTGGATTTTACAAAATGCACTAATTAGTAAGAGGGGCTGGGAAGTTCTTTTGATTCTATCTTCCTTTCGGGGAAAATCTCCGGCCCCCGACTCTTAGCCAAAAGCCCTGACAATGTGTGTGCAAATACAGAGAGCAGCGTCTGTGAAAACCCTGAGACATAGGCCTTGTATTGGAGTTTCACTCTAGATTATGGGCTCCTGACAGTGGTTACATGGTACAGTAATTAATTGTGTTGCTTGGTTAAGTATCATTACCTGTGCATGTAGAGGTCAAGGTGATCTGATGTAGTCAGAAATGCCTCTATCCAGGTTAGATTAGCACAAGGGTCAGACATAATTACATAGTCATCATGCCTCAGTGTCTCCTGAAAGCTGTGTGTCATCTCTTCAAAATTGGAATACTGGCTGTTTTTCTTTCAAAAATAAACAAACAAAAAATAATAATATTTTCACTCTTTCACACTGTATTCCAAAACAGTAATAGTCCTTTTTCATTTCATTTCATAGTCTGTTTGTTATTTTGTTTCATGACTTTTATACTTCTCTATCTATACTGTAAGTATGGGAGTGTTGAGTGCAGTACAATCTATCTGTCTTATGTGTGTGGTATGTTTTAATACATGATCACTATAGAGCACCTGCTTTTCCAACATTTCCTTCACATCATCATGTTGTCTTTGAAAGAGAAAATCTTTTTTCATCTAAAACAGCACAATAATAAGAATATTATTATCATGATGATATGTCAGGAGAGAATTTGTTAAAAATATAGATGTTGCATTTTATCTACACTTTTAATTATTATTTCTTGAAGGTCCTGACCTTATTAAACCATTAATATTTTACTGTTCAGTTTCATTTCCACTGGCTCATTTTACTGCCTTTCAAAACACTTGTATCAAACATCTGACTGTAATCACTTCAGTACACCACATAATGTTTGTATTGAATTTGCCATTTCCTCATTAAATAATCTGGAGAAGGACAGCTTCATTGTACAAAAATGGTAAGAGTACATCTTCTCTCCAATTGCTTTTTCTTTGCTGTTTCCTCCATTTTAGTTGATGTTGCAACAGAGCATTTTCTGGTTACATATGAATTAATGTTGGGAACACATGCTGGTATAAAAAGCTAATAAAAAGCAACAAACCCAACAAACTATATTAAACTCTGGCACTGACCTGTAACACAGCTTCTTTTTCTTGTCTCTGCTGAGTTATAAACTTCTCAGTAGCTTCATGTATGTTCTGTAAACAACAAAAACCAAGTTATTTTGTATAAAGAGGCTGTAGCTGAAAAGTAATAAAAGTAATAGTGATTACATTTGTATCATAGGAGAATAGGACTTCAGAGGAAATAAGAGTCAGTACCACTGGAGTTAATTGCTTATCCATAAAAAACTTGTCTTCACAAACTCAGTTATAAAATTATGAAGGAAAAAAAATACATATACAGACCATGATTATGATGCCAATAAATAAATTTGTAAAGATAAAGTGTCCCAAGAAAATGAAGATGACAGTAAACCATTGGCTGTAAGGCCTCTTGTCAAGATCTTTTTGAATCTCAGTCCAGCCATCTACCTAAAAATGAAGTAACTTGATAGAGGAACCTTTAACCTTTGAATTACATTATTAGCTGATAATAAAAAAGCCGACTACAAGCAGAAGGTAGGAGCAAATTGGAAGAGACTACATCCATAATTTCTTTTCTAGAGAAGTAATTTTTGATCAACTAAAATGTCTCTCAAACCACTATCATCAACAACTCACTCTTAACCCTACTCAGAGAAATTTAAAGAATGACTTAAATTGCCATAATGATTCAGACTGTACTGGCCTTGCATATCATGCTTTTTACTTTTAATGGCATTTAAAACTAGAAGAAATCAAAAGTGAGAAGAAATGCAGTGCTTCAAGTTAATGCAGTTTTGCATGAACTTGCAAGAAGACATCAAAAGACCAGGCAGATTAGGGTAGCAGAGGAACAAAAGAATGGCTGCCAATCTCAATATTATTATTTATTCTCCTGTGTTTACACCAGCTGCCCATCATAAAATAATAAGACTTGTGGTCTCATATCATTGAGCACGAATATCAAATGCAGTTGCACTTACAGTCACAAAGGTGAAAAGGGTAAGCATAGCTGTACTGAGAGTTCCCCAGTTCTCTTTGTCACCAGTGTCTTCTTCATAACCAAAAATATAATAACCAACAACAGCAAAGAATGCCATTAGCATAGTGAGCAGGATCACCACATTTAGCACTGAATTCCTGATTGTATCAATCAATGCAGTGACCAGAACCTGTAGGCCTTCTATGAAGGATATGGTCCGCAATGTGCGAGCGGCTGCAAAGGAAATGCATGCATTGATGTGTAAGATTTTAAGTAGGTGGCAAAGGCTCTGGAGTAGGCGGAGAAGCAAAAAACTAGCACCACAGGCGCAATTTGGAAGTGCCAAAAGTGCATGGTATTTTTAGTAGGGGGGTCTAGGGGCATGCCACCATTTTAAAATCTGGGCCTCTTAGAATGCATTTCTAGCATTCTGGAGCAAACATTAGAGTGTTTGAACAGAACACAGACAACACTAAATTTTGGCTTTTTGGGGTCTTTTTTTTTTTCAAAGAAAAGTAGGCGGCCTCAGTTCACGTGAAATAGCTGGTGAATTTTGCTGGCCACTGGCTGTTATTGAGAACCCTGCAAAGCTCCATGAGTCTAGCAGGGCTTTGATCTAGCAGTACCTGGTGGCCTTTGGTGCCTAGAAATCTNCTGTGTTTACACCAGCTGCCCATCATAAAATAATAAGACTTGTGGTCTCATATCATTGAGCACGAATATCAAATGCAGTTGCACTTACAGTCACAAAGGTGAAAAGGGTAAGCATAGCTGTACTGAGAGTTCCCCAGTTCTCTTTGTCACCAGTGTCTTCTTCATAACCAAAAATATAATAACCAACAACAGCAAAGAATGCCATTAGCATAGTGAGCAGGATCACCACATTTAGCACTGAATTCCTGATTGTATCAATCAATGCAGTGACCAGAACCTGTAGGCCTTCTATGAAGGATATGGTCCGCAATGTGCGAGCGGCTGCAAAGGAAATGCATGCATTGATGTGTAAGATTTTAAGTAGGTGGCAAAGGCTCTGGAGTAGGCGGAGAAGCAAAAAACTAGCACCACAGGCGCAATTTGGAAGTGCCAAAAGTGCATGGTATTTTTAGTAGGGGGGTCTAGGGGCATGCCACCATTTTAAAATCTGGGCCTCTTAGAATGCATTTCTAGCATTCTGGAGCAAACATTAGAGTGTTTGAACAGAACACAGACAACACTAAATTTTGGCTTTTTGGGGTCTTTTTTTTTTTCAAAGAAAAGTAGGCGGCCTCAGTTCACGTGAAATAGCTGGTGAATTTTGCTGGCCACTGGCTGTTATTGAGAACCCTGCAAAGCTCCATGAGTCTAGCAGGGCTTTGATCTAGCAGTACCTGGTGGCCTTTGGTGCCTAGAAATCTAAGTTTTTTTCATACAAATCATGCGCTGGGTACCCTGGATTTCACAATTTCAGAGCACTGGGTTCTCATCAATTTTTCTTAGAGCACAGCCTTGTCTTAGGGCATGATTTTGTCTCTGTGCCACAGAGGATTATGTTTTGACGACATTAAATAGCTTGTAGGTAAGTATTTACTATTATATAAGGGTTGTTTTGTTTTATTTTCTGGAATGGATTCATTAACTTGCACTGACAATATCATGACAAAAAATTAAGTTTGTAGCTTTCAGAGAACAGAATTAGAACATATTTTCAACATGACAGAGCGTACCTACACTAAAAGTAACAGAAAATGGGTACCCAGTTTTGTTAATACATTTTAAGTACATTTTAAGCCACTATGGGGACAGTAATAGAAAGTGTTCATATTATAATTATGAAGGGTCCACAAACCTCTTAGAAGTCGTAATGGTGTAAGAATCTTATCTCCTACATTAAGTTCATCCATGATGACCTGGACATATGACAAGGCAAGTATTGAGAAATCAAATCTGTTGTAACTGCTTTTCCAGTATCCTTTAGGTTCAGCATAGAGTTTCATTAGACATTCCATGGTGTATATTGCCAGGAAGAACTCATCCAGTGCTTTGAACACGTTGGTGTGTGCTTGCTTCCATTCTTCCACTGTTTCAAATCCAATGACCAAGGAATTGAGGACAATCACGCCCATGATAAATCCATTGAATAAGGGACTCTGCCAAGAAACAAATCCCATTTTTCAAAACACATGTTAACTATCCAAGGCTGTGCTCAAGAAGAGTAAGAGGTGCCCACTGCTATGAACCTGTGAAATCCAGGGTGCCCAGCATTATGATTTCTATAAAAAAAGAGCTAATATTCTCTAGTTACCTGGGAGCAAATGTTAGGGGCTGGGGGCTAATGGGTGCTGCTAGAGCACACCCTTGTAAATGTCACTCGATCTGTATAAGCACTTTAGGTGCCTCCAGCCTTCTTTTCACACAAAGTGTCCATGATCAGCTGTTAGTCAAGGTTTTTAGAGCCACTATTAAATGAGCGACAGTGTGACCTGCATTTCTATAAATTCTCTACATGTACTGAGGTTTGGGGATTTAGGGTTAGGATACAAAGCCTATAGAGAGGCCCTGCCAGGGTAAATTCCGACAAGCGACATGGCCCAAAAAGTAGCGACAGCGCGTAAAATGAAATCGCGACAAGAGACAACCTCCCTCAGCCAAATTGTGACAGTGACAGTAAAGCCGACAATAAGCGACAAGCATTTATAAACACCGACACGAGATGTTTTAAAATTCAGACAGGCGACATGGGACCCCACCTATAGATATTGGTACAAATTTACAACCACTTGAAAACCTTGAACGTGTACGGGCAGCAGGCTATTTAGTACGCTACTCATCGGTAGTGAACTCTAAGCCATCTAACTGTGATCTACTTTGTATTTAGTTGAAGTCAATTCTTTATCTCGGGTAATTTTCGTTTTTCTTTTGTTTTTGGGTATGGTAATGTGTGGTAATTTAGTTGAAACAAAAGAAAAATAAAAATTATAATTACCTGAGCTGAGATAAAAAACTAACTACAACACATTCAGTATTGCCTTCACATTTCCTACATCTGACTATGTTTATCAAAATATCGTACCGTTGTTATTTTCTGGATGTATCTGTGAAACTTTTCATCTATACGACGCCTTGAACCTTTTCGTCTCCTGGCAGAAATAGTAACTCAAGTTAAGCTTAATTGCGTTAAAAACTCGAAAAAAAACTCATGGCCCCTCTTAAAGGCGGTCGAGAGATTTACCGTAACAACTCAAGAGTTGCTTGATTTACGTTTGGAAACATAGTTTTCCATTCAGTTCGTTAAAAGTCCACGATAAAAGTTCCTGCAGGTCATCTGATCTCTGGAGATCCCTTTCGTGCAGCAAGTGACAAACAAAATTACGCCACGGGAGAGCTCACCAAAAATCACGACCGGGTAGGGGTGCTTAAAGTTGTCAAGATGGTTTAATTTTTCATATCCTTTAAACCCATCATTTCCTCGTCGTGAATCGTTGTGTTTTAAGATTTTCTAATTATTGGCTGAGTGTTTTGACCTTTTTGTTGCCAATATATAACATACATGTCAGATATCTTCCATCTGCGCACTTTCACTGACCCTACCCTAGATAAGTTTCCTGTTATTACTTTCGCGCCAAAACAATTTCGTTCCCAGGTCTCTTTGCAGTCTCAATTCAAAATGGCGGACAAAGAAGAATCATAATTTAATAGCGGTTCTGGATAGATGATTCTTTGAAATTGTGCACCGTCATTCATCCATAAATGAGGATTGTTACCATAATTACGGAAGTCAGGCAAGACTGTATGGCCTATATTGGTCTGATTCTAGCTTATCGAGCGATCGCTCGTGGACGAAGAAATGTCAACCCTTGGCCTTCGCGTCAAACCACTATACGCGACCGTGGGCATTGTGATCTTCGGAGTTGCCCTGTTCTTAAAGTTCACACCTTGGACTCCGAGCAAACCTGTCACGACACCCTCTTTGACGGAAGTGGGAAGGGATTTTTATCTTGATGGTAAACACTTTCGAATTCTTAGTGGTTCTATACACTACTTTAGAGTTGTTCCTGAATATTGGAAAGATCGTCTTCTGAAACTCAAGGCAATGGGTTTGAATACTGTTCAAACGTAAGTCTGCAGTATGTTTGACATTTCCAAAGGTATTGTAGTGTTTAATCAACACTGAATGGCAATGTAAACGCGGAAATTACTCACGAAAGCATCTCGACCACTTTTTAAAACGCTGATCATTAACCTAGCTATGCAACGCTCCATTGCAGGGCGTAACACATCGATAATTCCGATACTCGATCAAAATCGATAAACATCGATAAACATCGATACTAATCAATTGATTAATATCGGAAATCGATAAAAATCGATCGCCAGATTCTTTGTGATTATCGATTTGATCGATTTCGTTCGATTAGTATCGATTTCGTTCGATTAGTATCGATNGCAGTTTTAATTCAAAATGGCGGACAAAGAAGAATCACAATTTAATAGCGGTTCTGGATGGATGATTCTTTGAAATTGTGCACCGTCATTTATCCATAAATGAGGACTGTTACCATAATCACGGAAGTCAGGCAAGACTGTATGGCCTATATTGGTCTGATTCTAGCTTATCGAGCGATCGCTCGTGGACGAAGAAATGTCAACCCTTGGCCTTCGCGTCAAACCACTATACGCGACCGTGGGCATTGTGATCTTCGGAGTTGCCTTGTTCTTAAAGTTCACACCTTGGACTCCGAGCAAACCTGTCACGACACCCTCTTTGAAGGAAGTGGGAAGGGATTTTTATCTTGACGGTAAACAGTTTCGAATTCTGAGTGGTTCTATACACTACTTTAGAGTTGTTCCTGAATATTGGAAAGATCGTCTGCTGAAACTCAAGGCAATGGGTTTGAATACTGTTCAAACGTAAGTCTGCAGTATGTTTGACATTTCCAAAGGTATAGTAATGTTTAATCAACACTGAATGGCAATGTGAACGCGGAAATTACTCTCGAAAACATCTCGACCACTTTTTAAAGCGCTGATCGTTGACCTAGCTAATGCAACTCTCCATTGACGGTACCTTCTTTCCAAGAAGACGGAGAGGGTAGTTCTTGCGACATGTCCCTTCAGAAATCTGGCATTTATTTATTTATATATGTATATGTAGATGATGTAGATGTGAAGCCCTGTTATTATTACCAAGTATCGTTTTTTGTTTCAGTTACGTCCCATGGAATTTGCATGAGGAAGTTATGGGACATTTCAACTTCAAAGGTGGATTAGATATTGCGTGAGTTTATTTTTGGAAATGCTTTTATCGATGCTTTTATCAGTGTTTACAATTACTATGATGCCCTATATAATGTATAAAGCTTATTATATCTACCTGGATTTATGAAAACAGGATTAGCAACATTTGTAATTTCTTTCAACTTCCCCTATCTTAACCTTTTTACCGTGTTGTTTGCTTATGTTGATTTTTTTGGTTGTTGTTGTTTTGTGATTAGAGATTTGTGTAGAAGTGCCTGCAGAGGGAATTTCGTGAATTCAAGTTCTTTGTCTTCCCCCCTCCATCCCTAGAGGGTGTTTTTCTATCCCTACCCAGAATTCTCTGTCTTAACACATGCACAAGTGACAGTTATTTGAAATCAGTGTGCCCCTAAAGCTGGTTTTTGTGCCCTTTAGCAGTTTATATAATTTTGTTACTGATCACCATGAGAAAAGTTTTCTGGAGAGCATCATGTAAAGCTCTGAGATTGCTAGATGGGACAAAGTTAATACAATTCGCAGAGTATGTATCGTCCAATATCATGGTATATTCTTGTTTCGGTCAGTGTAAAACGTAGACTGCAGACTACAGGCTGCAGACCAGGGATAAAATGCAGACTGAGAGCATTAAGTCGCAGGACTATAGACTTTTTAAACATTTGTGCTCCTTCTTCTCCAAATAGGTGAAATAGCTAGCTGGTATCTGTACACACCTTGCTTCCTAGTCAAAGTACATTGCACATTTGCCAGAAGTTTCAATGAACATCCAAAGAGCTCAAGCCTGCATACCTTGATTTGTAATGTACTTTCATAGAAGGTCATCCAAATTTCCTGCAGAACATCTTTCTTTGTTGTTGGAATGATTTACTCCCTTTTTTATTGCCATAATTTTTTCTGTACAGTATTTTGGGTCAGCAGCTTTAATTTAAGCGTAAACATCGTGGTGTACCAATTCATGCTCACGTGTATCGAAAACTTCACGTCTAAGGTTGAAGCGTGAGGTCTCTCGGACGGAAAAAAAGGTTCAAGATTGTGATTATATTTTTGGGTTGTCGACAACGTTCCAGAGAAGAAAGGAATGCATTTGTGAAAGTAGATGTCATCAAGTATAAGTGTTCATTTACATGTATAGAGGGATTTTTTTGCCCTTAAACCCTTCCGCGACTACAGTTTATGCTCGGTCTGCATTTTACCCCAGCCTGCGTTTTACTCTCGGTCTGCAGTCTTCATTTTACACACAGTCTGCATATTACCCCTGGTCCGCAGTCTGCATTTTACACTGACTGATTCTTGTTTTATTTGGATAAACGGATCAATCACCCTGATCTGGGCTGAGACCGAAAGGTACAATATTGTTTGCTTTTCTAAGGTGACTGTTATGTACTGAATCACACAACAGCAGCGTGCAAAGAAACTACTGTCCGACAGCCCGGGGCTAGTGGATTTTGCTATCGGGCTGGTGAATTCTGTTTTTAACTTGCCCTACGGGCTAGTGATGTTTTATGAGGAATTTGAATAACAGAAGAACAAAATGTTTTGGGGGCTAGTTGAAATGATGTCTGGGCTAGTAAATACTAGCTTCAGCTTGCCCGAATGGCAAGCTGTAAAAATGATTTTCTTTGCACCCTGCAACAGCCATATTGAATCAAAAACCTCATGGTTTATTGCATCCGATGATGCTTATTATAATCAGTACTTTCATGACAGCATACATGACAGTGACCTTTAAGTCTTTGGCCTTGGGAACAAGCTTCTAGGAATCAAATCTCTTAGACGAGAGCAAACTTGAAGGTGAACTTTGACCCAGGCCAATAGGCTGAGTTTTTCCGAGTTATTTGATGATATTTCGCTTGTGTCAAACGTAAGAAGATTATGAATGGTTGTGGATAGTCATATCGGTGTGGCGAAAGTGTAT